TAACAACTAGGTGAAGCTGGTGGAAATTTGATACTGAAACCCATCTCGTTGCACTCGTGGAGCTTGCTCCATCCTATCTCCAAATCTTATCATGAAGCACTGGCTTGGCAGAGCATCTCAGAGGGGAAGGAATTGATATTGAAGTGGGCGTTGATATCACGTCAGTGGTATCTGATGGGGACGGAATTGTCGTCAAAGGCATCTCAAGAGGAAAACAGCGGACATTTACGGCGTCTAGAGTCTTTCTTGCCACTGGTCGTCGCGCCAATACCAACCACATCTCCGATCTTCCACTCAAGCTTGCCAGTACACCGCATGGCGGATTCGTGGTTTCGAACACTCTGCAAACATCGATCCCCGAGGTGTACGCCGCTGGTGATTGCGTTGCCGATTCTCCGCAGTACGTTTATACTGCTGCCGCGGAAGGGCAGCTCGCTGCGCTTAATGCTCTGGGAACGCTCTGCGGCCGGGAACCAAGGGAGATAGACTACGCAGCCGTTCCGTGGGTGGTCTTTACATCTCCGGCTGTCGCGGGCGTTGGCTTAGGTCTTTCCGAGGCTCGTGCCAAGGGAATTGATGCCGACGCATCGCGTCTCCCTCTTCGCCTCGTTCCGCGTGCCCTGGTACAACAAGATACGCGGGGTTTCGTAACCCTGATCCGGGATAAGAGCGATGACCGCATCGTAGGTGCGCGTGTGCTAGCCGAAGAGGGAGGCGAACTGGCAATGGAAGCATCGCTTGCCGTGCAGTACAAGATCAAGGCCAAAGATCTGGCAGCGATGTTTCATCCGTATCTCACCTGGAATGAGGCGTGGAAACTGGCAGCGCTAGGGTTCAACAAAGACGTAGAGACGCTAAGTTGCTGCGCAACATAAATCTAAGTACCGAACTTTACCGGGATAAAATCTATTAGGGGTTAAATGAGAAGGCAAGAGACAGAGGTCTCGGTTTTAATTATTCAGTTGCTTGCTGAAGTTTGCTGTTACAATCCATAGGCGTTTGATTCAATATATCCAAATGGACAGTGTGCTACAAGTACCTCTGCATGACTCTTAACTAGTATTTGTACATCTTGGATGCCTAATAATATATGAGGCTCTCCAGTAGTGTTCAACACTGGCCTCAAAAAAGGGAATGACAAGGCCGCAGAGAGTAGCTGTACCACATTGGATTAGCGTCACGACCTAAGGGGGCTCCACGTGGTTGTGCGGCATAGAACAAGAAATGAGAAAATATATCTAGCAGAGCATTGGCACGAGACTACCAAAGTAATCATATCCTTGTGATATTTCATGAAATAGAGTAGTGATAATGAAGAAGTTAGTTCAGTTTTGATGCTGGTAGCCTCACTTTGACCCCAAATCCTTCTTGTACTGGCCAAACCGCTCCTCCAACTCTTCTTCAGTCCACTGCTTTTGTGGCTCAGTGCCGATGTATGCCCCGTCGAAATCTTTCGCGAAGTATTTCAGGTAGTCACGGCGTGGCATAAAGACGACTTTCGTAGACCCGTTCTTTTTGAGGCCCATGATTTTATCTATCAGGGACCTCTTCCTCCTGAGCCAGATGATCAGTTATAATTAGAGACCTGTAGAGGGTTGTTTTACTGTATGCCCGACGGATCTGGAAGCTCTACCACCACTGGTATAATGCTATCGTCGGTAAATCTCACTGGCAGGTGCTGGGGAGCAGTATACAAGCCCAGATCAGCACGGACGTTGGGCGAGAGGACTGGCATCGGTCTGCCTATAGCGGTGAATCGCTCCGTCACATCGGCGTCACATCCCTCTTCGTCGTCATAGATCGTGTTGGCTAAGAGCGCCTCATAATCGCCATTATGGGTGATTGTCGGGTCGGGCAAGATTCCCTGGGCTGGTGCATACCGGAGCACTCCATTCTCACGATATGGAAGCATCGCGGGCTGACTATGATGACGAGCCATCATTGCTGAGGTTGTAGTATTTGCGCAACGTTCAGTGGAATTCTTGAAAGGTTTTGAGGAATCGGCGTGCCGTTATATCGATGCGAATTGTGTGTCATGGTGATGAGGTTGTCGTCATGGCAAGCCACATCAAGCCTCTCCTTGCCGCAATGGCTGGCTGTATTCATCGTCAAGCCAGATGGCAAACCTAACCAGGTTTGGTTAGCGCGAAGTGGAGAGACCAGCCAAGCCCAAAATCCGACATTGGATCAAGTCAATCGTCAGATCAGCTTCACAACGGTCTTCATGAGCGATCATACGAGGGCCAGGGCCCAGTTCACATCAGTATCGCATACTGGCCAACCCTTCTATCTCGCAGAGTTCTTCTGCCATGCCAGTACTCGGATGGCCGTTACTGTAACAGTTCCCTCGAAACGAAGAACCGATCATCACCATCGCTACGACCTATCCTTCCTCCTGCCTCGAAACACATATAAAAGGCGATAAAAAGGAGGAACTGGGGATTAGCCGCGGGGTCCTTTGGACTTGGCGCGAAGTCTTGCTAGTTCCTGAGCTCTGGGGCCTGGAGCACTCTTCAAATCTTCTACCGCATCATCCAGACCGCGGTGTCTCTTCCGAGGTGGATTGTAGCCACAGTAGAAGAATTCCCCGTGGTCAGCGAGATGCTTTTGACTTGCTAAGAAGTCTTTGTACTTCTCGAGCTCTACCACCGTCATGATGTCGTTTACGAAACAATAAACGACCTGATCACGCAATTCCTCAAATTTCTTCTCTAGGTCTTCCACAAGAACATAGTCAACGCCTGTTTGGCGGCCTGTTTTAGAACTTTCGAAGCGTACTTTATACTTCGCATATCTCATAACATCCAATCCCGTTTCAACCATTTTCTCTTCAACCTGTGAGAGACTGGCATCGACGAGCGCTTCCCGCTGCAGGAGTTCCCCAAGATCTTGGCTGCTTGAGGCTCTTGCCCCGGCTAGCGCAGATTGAATCTCCTTCTGCTCGGCCTCAAGTTTCTCTTTCTCTTTCTCCAGCTGTATCAGGCGGTTCGTCTCAAACAGCTGTGCCTTCAATAACCTTATGCGCTCGTCTTCATCATCGATCTCAAGCTTCAGGCTTGCTAACTCTCTTTCCCTCTCCTTGATAGATTGCCGCGCCGCTTCTAGGTCTTTTTCCCGGCCGGCCACTTGACTTTTCGAGGTCTCTAGCCTCTTGTCAACTTCGCCCTTGGCTGATTTCAGATCCTTGATGTACGAGCTTGATACCTGCCTCAAGTCTTCCAAGTCCTGTCTCGTCTTCTCCAGTTCCGCTTGCACGCTGCCTGTCGCTTGCAATGCTGTTCTTAAATCATTCAATTCTGTCTCCAGGCCACGAACTCGTTCTGCCTCTTTCCGTAAGGTTTCAGTGTCTGCCTTGACCGTATTCAATTCTGCTGTGAGCTCTGCAATAGCTGCCTTCCCTTGCTGGAGTAGTGCTTCATTCTCTGCCTTGGCTGTATCTAGTTCTCCTTTAAGGGCGCTTGTGAGTTCTATGTCTCTCTGCGTGGCGTCGCGTGCTGTCTTCAGGCTTTCTCCGAGGTCCCTAGTAGCCACTTGTTCTTGCTGCAACTGCTTCTTCACCTCTACGAGCTCCTCCTCGAGCCATTCGACACGTTCTGCCTTTTGCCGTTGGCTCTCGGCGGCTGCCCTCGCCACATCCAGTTCTGCTTGGAGGTCATGGACAGCCTGACCTTCTTGTTCTAAGACTCCTGCCCGTCTGCTTACGACTGCCAGCATTTGCTTGAGATCGGGGGTCTCTGTTTCGACGCCTGTTCCTGCGATAGCGAGCCGCTCGCCCGGAACCAGCTTCTGCCATTCGAGAATCTTCACGCGAGCATTTTCGTCATGCGCCAGGTTATTCTGGCTATAGAGAGCAATGAACTTAGCGATCGACTTTTTTAGGTCTTCAATCTCATCAAACTGCGCTCCCGCCGCAGGAAGATCTTCAAATTGAAGTTCATCCGAATAGATAGTCTCGCAATCACCGTCTTCATAGTTCTGCTCAAGCTGGAGTCGTCCTGTGAAGGCTGTACTCATCTTCTCCACTCCTTCTCTGGTCTCCTTGATCTTTGCAAGTATCATATCCAAGGTCCTGCCCTTGATAGTGGCCACTTCTTTGGAGTTCCTTAGGTCTTCGGCCTGCCGTTGACTAACGAGTTCTAATTCGGCAACTCTTTCTTGGAAGCCTTGAGACATTGCTCCGGCATTGATATCTTCTGGCCTTCGTAAGTCACCCCTCTCCCATTGAGCAATTCTCGACCGCAGTGCTTCTAATTCTGTCGTTGCTTGTTGCGAATGTGCGGCAAGCTGCTGTCGCAATGTCTCTGCCGCTGATGCTTGCCTATCACTCTCAGACTTATACTCCGAGATCCTACGCTCGAATTCCGCGATCATCAAGCGACACTTCTCCAATTCAACCGCCATCTCTCGTTGATCTTGGTGCTGCCTTGCTTGTACGACTTGCATTTCACGAGCAGATTCGTGATCTGCAATTGTCCTTTCAAGAGTCTCTATCTTCTGCTGGCTCTGACGCAGCTTCTCAGCCAACTCGAGATGTGCTTGCGAATTTTTGCGTGACTGGTCAAGGTTGATGGCCTCCAATTCTTCAATCCTGTTCCGGCCCGGCTGAACCTCGGCAAGTAGCCGTTCAGAATTCGCTTGAGCCTCTGACAACTTTACCTTGTAATGAGAGATCTCTCTTTGTTGTTCTGCGACCTGTCTTTCACACTCTTCTAGGCGCGATGTGAGTGCGGCATCTTGAGCTGCATCCCTGACTAACGTGCTCGTCTGGGCTTGACTCGCTTGATTTCGCTGTTGCGATGTACCACGACCATCCACAGCTACCCCTTCCATCCTGTTGCCATGACGAGCAGCCTCAGGAGGTAGTGGTGGGATGCGAAAGAAAGAAAGCGCAATGCCTCGCTTGACAAATAAATCTGTGACGTACTTACCACTCTCTGGTATTTCACAAATATTTTGCACAAAGAAATAAGGAGCGCAATCTTTGAGTGCCTGGTTGTGCGGCCTCCCATACCGTTGTTTCACCTTGACATTCGAGAGCGTGGTAGTCCAAACCGGTGGCCCAAGGAGTTCTTGCTGCCTAGCACGGATGCGGGTTAGAAGCTGGTAGTGGCCAGTGATTTCTGATTCGAGGTCATAGTCGTACCTACCCGGCGGCCTAGCTATTGTGAGCATGTTCCTGGCATGCTCTCGATCTGCGTCGGCGTTGAGAATGCTAGTGATTGCATTGGACCTGAATCCAAGGGCGTCCGCGAGCCTGGCAAATTCAAGGAGGCATTGGGGGTCTGGGCCGATACTCGGCACCTTTTGTTTGTTATCCGACTTCGGGACGAGGTTTGTAAGGCGATAGAAATTGCGCATGGCGAACATCCATAGTTGGACGTATGCTATCTCAAATCTCTCTTCGTCGCCCGTCTGTATATCGCCATATTGGGCGACCCCATCAGCACTCTCCAACACTATGTAGTCTCCACCATATCCACGCCACATGTGTTGAATTGCCTCTCTCATATGACACTCTGTTGGGTCGATGAGTGTCCGCATCGCTTTCGCACAGTCTTCGAGGTACAAGGAATCCTTGGCGAGCGTCTTGATCGAGGGGATCATCCCATCAACAGCGACGACGTTCTGCAGCAGTCGCAATCTTTTGACATCATCATGCAACAAAGGAAATGCGCTTCTGCTCTCGATAGCCCGGGTGATAAAGTCTCTGTCGGCTAATGACGTTTTCGGGGCCCTCCCTTCAAGCAGCTTGACGGTCTCAGGATCTAGATTGTACATGAGCTCTTCATCACCGTCGAGTATGGAGGTCCAGATGTGCTTAATGCGGTCTAAATATCGTATCAGTTCCTGAGATGGCATGTTAGCGTCGCGCATACTAAGAGAAATGTGCCTACTTCATCACATCTGAGCGATTTATACCGGTGCAAGGTGCCTTTCTGAAAAGATGCCCAGAGACCGACAAATGGTCTTAGAGATGTGAAGCCCTTGTACAAAGCTGGTCTTTTCTCGATGGCTTTGAGGTCATTCTCCGCGTCCTTCGACCGCCACGCCGTCCTCCAGTCAGGCTCCGCATCCAGGAATCGGAAGACGGTCCCATCATCGTGTGGAATCGACTCGATATTACGGTCTTGCTCTTGCACACGACACTTGTTGTCCCATCTCTCTGTATTGCTATGAGATTCACTTATATCAGTTTTGAAGGCTTCTGCATACCTTTATCATAGAGCTCGACCGCCCACCACTCGTTGTGCGGATAGATGTGCTGCTTTGCAGCCTCTAATCGATGCTGTCCATGATAATGCGTCAAAAGAGCGCCTTCCGGAAGGTGAAGACGTTTGATGTGCCCCGCGTCTTGAAGATCACTGATCGTCAATTCGGACCGAGCTAGGGCGGCAGCAAGAACCGGCTGAGAAATTTCGGCCTTAATACGGTTTCCGCAGACGTTCGGAAAGCATCCTCGAAGTCTGAATTCTCTTAGCCAGTACTCGGTCTTTCTTGGCTGAAGGAGAATTCGGGGCCTTCCTTCAGGAGGTTGATATGATAGGTTCTCTAGCCTGACCAGGGCCACGCCGAGGTGCGCCGTCTCGCGGGAGCGATCCAGGGATTCCACATCATCACGAAGGAACGCTGCCCGGCTAGACATTTCATGTACTTACTCGTAGACAAAGGCAGGTAGGTCATAGTTTCAACACGTGGATTTAGTGACTGTTATGTCTTGTTTGCATTTGTATCTTCCCCCGAGACTAGAATCTATTTCTGGACTATAATAATGTTTGCCATCCGCTACTTTATTAGAGTCTGGGAATTTTCCGCCAGCAAAATGTTGTGCCCAAATGTCAGCCAAATATCAGAGTATTTCGCCAGTAGAATAGCTTGCAGGCCGGAATATTCTGCCAGCTAGAATATTTCGCCTAAATGTCATCCAAATCTCAGAGTATTTCGCCAGTAGAATAGTTTGCAAGACAGAATATTCTGCCAGCTGGAATATTTCGCCCAAATGTCATCCAAATCTCAGGTAGAATAGCTTGCAGGCCGTAATATTCTGCCAGCTGGAATATTTCGCCCAAATGTCATCCAAATCTCAGAGTATTTCGCCAGTAGAATAGTTTGGAGGCCGGAATATTCTGCCAGCAGGAATATTTCGCCCATAATATATTGTCAATCGGGATTGAGATTCGTTTAGTCACGTGCAAGCCGATGTCTGCTGCTCTTGTCTTTCCCACCGCGCGAAATTCTACGAGATATGATAATAGATTCAGCCCTTAATTTGCTTATCAACAATTCATTATTACCTCTTCCGGTTTGTTGCCCAGACTGTTGGCAAACTTTCGAGGGTGGTGGACCAAACAGGCACACCCAGTGAAGGGCATGCGGCTCCCCAGAAGGAAAGACTCACTTGCAGGTTGAGCGAAGCGGGTGGGGTAAGGTTAATTAAGGTTAGCGGAACGGCCCGCGATAAGCGAGCCTTTCCCAGCAAAATCAGCGCACAGACTTTTGGAGAATCGTGCAGTCTGAGCAGGCGCCGTCTTCCAAAAGTTTTGATGACGAGGAGTCATCTGTCATCAACTTGTCATGGGTTTTTAAACATCCCGAATTATATGCTGACTCTATGCTATACTTCAAATGGACTGTGATTCTATAAAACCAGGCGCTGCCTCATTAGCCAAGTGGAAGGCAACAAGATGATGCCCACCTCAGATGCGATATCTAGACGAGCCACGGGTATATGGCGTTTGAGAGGTACAGACCAAGACAAGGATATCGAAAAGGAGTCATTAGCAATTAAGCAACCAACTAGCGCCTCAGATCCTGCTCTCAACTACGATCACGTTGATGGCAGCTTTGAGTTCGGAGGCATCCGAGTGAGGCTCGTGACATACAAGTCAATACCGGGCGTCATTCAGATCAATGCCTCGAAGACTATAAGCGAATGGAACACATTACGTACACTCAAACATGAAAATATTGTCGGCTTTGATGACAACAATCCCAGTATTAGCCATTGGCTACCTATTAACGCCGATGACCACGAGGATGATCCCAAAGGACGGTGTGAGCTATATATCTCAAAACCCCCATTATCTGTCACCGTTGCAGCAGCGGCAGCCCAATATCCATGGTCTGTCTTAGACGCGTATAGGATGTGCAAAGATGTAAGTGAAGTCAAAGAGGCTGCGGGATACTTTGTGCTGACTAGTAGAGATCTTGAACGCACTCAAGTTTCTGGCTGATCATAACCTGTCTCGTGGCGATTTCACCACTGACCATGTACTAGTTACTGGTGAAGGATTCAAACTTGGTGAGTCCAGGGACAATCCTACTTGAGGTTATACTGAGAATAATCCAGCGAATATCCATCTGTGTGAAGCCGTAAAGGCTGATACTAATGTCCGAGATCTTCGGTCAGTTGGACAAACATTAAGAGAGGTCTTGATTGGGAAGAGCCACGTCCCGGAAAAAGTAGAGTGGTTAGATTTCTATACCGTTGCGATGAAAGAAATTGCTTTCAACGCGTATCGTGATATGTTGCCTCGACTACTCTTGGAACACTGGCCAAAAAGTAGTGGAGAGTATGAAACAACGTCTCAGGACGATAGACTTCGTGGAATTGCTTATCTAGTTAGCCAGAGGCAACGAAACACCTTTCAGTGGTAGCTATGTCTGTGATATTGTGAGGGAACGATCAGGTGACTTTCATACTTTATGAATAGTTTCACTTTATGAATTGTGTAAATAGCTTAAGTCAGAGCTTTCCTTACGAAGCTCTTTCTCTCCTTGTAAACAATCATTTTGCCCAAGTCGCATAAGACCTCGTTCGTGCCCTTGTACCGTCACAGATATCAGGTATTGCACAGGGTTGCTGCACACGTCTTGATTTCATTTGGATAGCTTGGGATTAGGATCATTCAGTCAGAAAATGTAATATCCGCAATCTTTATGCTTTATGAATAGTGGTGATTAGCATTTGCGCGGTATGAAACAAGGTTGACATGTACTAGGCTTCCAAGAAGGTGTATTCTTTAACTAACTTAGACCGACCGAATTGACTCTCTATTCCTTCAGCTTTGTGTTATTTTAAAAACATGTAATTGATATGATTTATGTTCCCGGATATGATTCAAACGCTTCTTATTAAAAATCCATATCCTCCTCACGCTCCAAAGGTAGATCCAGATCTTCCTCGTCCCCTTCAATCTCAGGTCCTCTTGGGTGGACGAGAACAGGCTTTATAAAATGACGAAGTTGAGAACCTAGCATCTAAGGTGAGCTAATTGCAATATACGAGGTGTTTAATAAGGGTTTGAACCTTTGGTATCATTACTTTCCAAACGCAAGGCCTTTAAGGCCGCGTGGAATGGGCCTTCACTGAGTGGTTGCAGCGTTGGATTTATGTTGTAAGCCACATAGGACCTCCACCCATTTGACATCTCGCGCATAAACAGCTCGCCATGTCCTAGGAAAGACATCGGTAACGTTAAGTAGCTGACAGTCTTCTTGAAATCAAAGAACTCAAATTGACCAGCTAATACATCTAGGCCAAAATCCTGCTTTAGCAACTGATATAATAGAGAGTAAGCTTCTGTACAGAGCCATCCCGTAGTATGCCAGCTTTAAGGGGAGAGTGTTATTAAATAGTTAAACCTACAGCCTTTGTACTGCCAATGTAATTATCCGGAGGCGGTGGACCACCAAGGGGGTCTAGTTTGCATCTCCAATTATACCGGAAGTCGTTATGTCTAGATTCATGGGCACCCGAATCGGCTATGGCGTTGTTTAGCTGTTCGAGAGGATCAAGCCCGAGATTATCGATTATTGTAGAAAAATCGGCAATCTCATCAAATGTATAATGGTCAACTGGGAGGCATTTCTCTTGGAAGCAAGAATATTCCTGTTCCCATCGAGGCATTAACTCGGCCACATGCGCTTCAAAGATCTCGTCTTCGACCATCTTGAGGACTTCTACTGGCAAGCCTGTTATAGGTGCTGATTTCCCATACTTATGGCATAGGCGTAGCGTTTGAAATAATGGTCTGCATATATTGTATACCTCAAGGTGACTTCCTAATCTCACAGGGTCAACTTCATATGCCCATACGACGGCCGGATCCTCATAATAGTAGTTATGTGCCATATCGCAGTTTACTGACAGAATTCTGACACAATAGTTCCACTACCTTTGGTCTTGTGTAGCCACCAGTTATTTCATACGTGTAAAGTAATAGCAGAAGGCTTAGATGACATGCTATGCTAAGGAAGGTCGTCATCAACACAATCTGTGCATCGAGATGACATGTTGGAAACAAGCCCTGGGAAGAGGTGGTCATCAATACGGTCCGCAAGGCAATAGAGACAATCACGCAGATCAGTCAGCGGTTTGACTTGTCATCTCAATGCACTTGTTCTTATCCAGTTAATGCTACTGTAGCTTCGGTAATTTAATGTCTCTATCAATCCTGTCAGCCTATGTTAAGGAAAATCGCCTGAAATAAACTTGGGAAATCTTGGACGTATCTGCGTACTATACAGATTCGTTGCTTCTAAGAATAAATTTCCGTGAGGCTTTGTATGTATATCTTTATAAGTATATCTTCAAACCAAAGGACTACCTGTCCTGGTTAAGACACGATGGATATTATAACTGCCGCTATGATCATCCCTGGAGGTGCACTCCTCGGGATCATAATCTTAGCCTTTTTGCAATACCACCTACGAAACAACTCCCTTCCTTATATCAACTCCCGTCACCTTAAGTTCTTCGCTCGTAAATATGCCTCTGATCGTCCACTCCATCGATACCTTAGAAGCATAGGCATTGCTACACCGCTTTATCTCATTGGTCTTCTCTCTATACTAGCAATTAATGCCACAGTCCTCGCTATTTCTAAGGGCCGAGCAGTGCTGATAAAACGATCTGGTGAAGCTGTTTTGATTAATCTGATTTTGCTCTTAGTGTGTGGCCGGCCCAACGTGTTCTCTGAGCGCGTCCACGTATCACAACAGTTCAAGAATTTCATTCACAGATGGCTTGGCATTGTTGCCGTAGTCGAATGTATCGTTCACTTGATAGCTGCTTTGAGTCTGATTCGCCCTGGCACGCGTCCTTTCACATCTGCATCAAGCATAGCAGGTCTCACTGTAAGTCACAATCAAGTCTGGTCAAAGATTCCCATGCTGAAAACGTGCTCCAGGCTGCTATTAGCATAGCTGTCTTGGGCGTATTTTCAATGCCGTTCGTTCGACGCCATGCGTATGAATTGTTCCTAAGCACCCATATAGCCTTGACCGTCATTATAATCGTTGCGATCTTCTTACATCTCGCCCCCTTTGACTTCTCACAACCATCGATCATCCTCCTTATTATCGCAGGCTCGCTATGCGCTATACTTATGGCAGCTCGAATAGGAATATCTCTATGGAATAGAGCCGGGGTCAGGATCTTTGAAGAAAATGGATTGCTAAAGGCTGACATCACCCTGGCTAAGCCTCGTCAAGTTCGCGCCGGCCAATACGTCTTCTTGCGAGTTCCTTCTACATCGGCACTCTCCATCAATGAATCACATCCCTTTTTTATAGCATCATGGGATCAGGACAAGGAAAACAAGACCAGGAACATCACTGCCCTCATCCAACGGCGAAAGGGATTCACTCGGCTCCTCCAAGCGCAACCCACGGCGGTGAGAGCCTTCCTTGAAGGCCCATACGGGGAGTCACCCTTGGCCGAGGATTACGGTAATGTTATCCTGTTCGCATCAGGGATTGGCGTTGCGGCTCATTTAGGATGTATTAAGCAATTGCTCAACGCCCGAGATCACGGGCCTACTAGAACCCAGGTGATAAGTCTCCTGTGGGAGGTCGACGAGATTGAGCCGTGGGACGCGGCTATCAAGATGGTGCATAAGCTGCTCGATCAAGATGCAGACCGATGCGACAGGGAGACGCCTGATTGGAAAAATGCAAGGAGTCGATTTGTGAGCTCTATTGACTGGTGCCATAGCACACACAGCTAATCCTTGCGGACTAGGTCTTTCAATACACCATGTTCGTTCGACACCACGGGCTTGACTGGCCTGAGAAATCCAGCGAATCAATGAGAGGTCGTCAACGCTGGAAATTTGGGGCTTTGAACGCCGCTAGTACGCTCACGCAGGAACTGACCAACGTAGAAGTTCAGGGCCAGCGTCTCACACGTACTTTGATCTCTGGTGGGTAGTTCTGCAATCGGACAAGAAATATGCTAACTGAGCGTAGTCTGTGCCAATCGTGAGATGACTGATATGATCCGGTCAGCTTATGCGAATACGCTTAAGGTGGAGGAGGCTAGGAGAGAGGTCGTATTGCACACCTATGATTTCCATCCAGATGCTTAGCTTATAGTAGATGGCTTCTGCATGTAATACATCTCTAGTAACAAGACAATGGAAGACCAGGCATAGACTTCTCGAGCGTTGTGCACGTGTGCCAAGTATCCACTCTCATCTTTCGCACGTAGCAAGTTCTCAATACAGGTGTTATTGTCAAACATCATCCATATCCAATAAAAGCTAAAAACAGGTACTTTCCTCGCAGTCATCTACACAACCGATTAAGCATACGTCCTGATCCAATCCCTCTACCTGACGCGGTGATTGAGAGCCGTCTGGACTTGTCGATGGGTGCGCCTGCCCTGCATGGTCGTGTTTATCGTTCAAGCAGAACTCAGGCTGGATGGTAGCGCTGTGTATTCCATATCCATGCAGACATTCTCGAACCGCCTTTGCTAGTATCATGTATCTCACAGCAACCCCACCTTCCTCAATAGGGAAATCGAGTTGAAGGTGAAGGGACGCAACTGGCTGGGTCTCGCTCAACTGCCACAAGTGGATATGGTGACAGTTGACAACTCCTGGAATCTCTTGAATATCATCTTTGATATCGTTAATGTCAAGATGATCCGGGGTACCTTGTAGTAGTATCTTGGCGCTGGCGGTAGTCAAAGGTATGGTCGTCTTCAAGATGATGACTGCGATGAATAGGGACACAGCAGGATCGGCGTAGAACCGGCCAGACCATGGAGTAAGCCAGATAATGAGCGCCGATGCAATCACACCCACATTACCGAGCGCATCTCCAACGACGTGCAAGATCATCGCACTGGTGCCCATATCAGTGTCGCCATTGGCTTTCTTCACGGGCTTGCTGTGATTATGACTGCTATGCGCAGGCCCCGACCGAGATCCTTTACGGGATTGGCTATGCGTGTTGCGGTGCTTCTGGGACGGGCCGTCACTTTTGCTCTTCACAAGTGGCGAAGTTTCGGAATGCTCTTCTGCGGGATCGTCTTCGGACTCGTCCAAAACAGTCGCGGTCCCAGCTCCAATTGTGGTAGACTTGCTGGCGCTAATGATTCCTTGTCTGAAGCTTGCAGGATACATGCTCCCATCCACGATGCCTCCGAGTTTACTGCTTCGTCGTCTGCGTAGATTCGAATTCGCACCTGTTTTACTTGAGGAGACGGTCCGGATCTGCGAAGGTGCAACTGTTTGTGTCCTGTCTATAACACATTACGCGTTAGTAATCAAACATTTTGAGACGGCCGCTCTTTTATAGCTTACCTGAATACTCTGCTTGAATCGCGCCAGTATGCCTACCGTATCCTTCCTCCACAGTGCGGACGTCGTCAACAGGGTCATCGTGCTCTGTATCCCCGTGAGAGTGCCCTCCTAATACAAAGAACCCCGCAAGATTTGAAGCGAGTCCCAACGAGCCAACGATAAGGATGAGTTTGGAGTTGCTGATCTCCGGAGGATCGAGGAGACGAGTAATTGCTTCGAGGATGATGGAGAGACACAAGGCGATGAGGAAGACAGCATTGAAGAACGCGCCAAGAATCTCTGCTCTTAGCCACTTCAGGAAGAGATTAGCATTGCGCTGAGATTGTCCATGGAGCGGACCTCGTACATACCCCGAATGAGTATTTGTCGGACCGTGGTTTCTGAGCAGCTTTTACAGCCCACAAGCCAACGACGAGGGAGATGATGTCGTTGAGCTAACGCGCTGTTAGTATAGCACACGTTCTCAGTACAAGAGTGCCGTCTCATCTCACCATATGAAAGGCATCTGCCATAAGAGCCAGAGAGCCCACGACCATTCCAACACCCAGCTCCAACAGGAAGAAGGCCGTGTCAATAGCCAACATGACCGAAATTCGATTGGATTTTGACCACGCCATCGTTTCGTGACAGTCAGGATAATCTAAGAAGTGATGTAGTGTCGGTGAGAGTAATCTATGATGGAAGACTTCTGGTGGGTGACGACCGACGATGGGAGGCTGGAGAGGCAGACAGAACAGGAATCGCTTAGGGAGAGAAGCAGCCAAGACGATCTAAGCCATAAAGGGTTAATGCCGTCATCGAAACAGTAGGAACTGTGATTTCCGTTTCCGACTTTCGATACTGATCCTCATCCTCACCACTGTTAAAACAAGTCGCATCCTTGGAATGAGCTAGGACTATTTTATCTGCTTATCCTTAAGCCTATACTGGTTTGACCTAGTCGCGTCCTCTGCCACGACAGCGAACCCGAACACCACGACGACGACGACGACGACCAAACCAGGACAGCAACAACGGACATCGAGTGTCCATTTATACCAACTTTGGTACTCCCGGCAACATGGCATTGTTTCAACGAGGCAAGGATCCCGTGGTTACGGCTGATCTAGAGAATGCTATCGAAGCCGGCCATGGTCACTGTTCCCAAGACAAGAGCGCATCAGTCCTACAACCCGATAACCACAATGGCATTACCAGAAAGATCGCTCCTGGTGGTGAAAGTGGGCGGAGGGGCATACACCCATTACACTTCTTCAGGATTCTTTGGACATCGACAAGCGATGCATCTAGGCTCTGCAACATACTATGGCCCACGGTCCCAGCAGCACTCGCTCTGCGCTACAGCAAGAGTGACTTGCACCTTGTTATCTTCATCCTCAACTATCTTGCCATGGTACCGTGTGCTAATACGATTGGCTTCGCCGGACAAGAGTTTGCACGCAAGATCCCAAAAGTAGCCGGCATCCTGATCGAGAACACACTGGGATCGGTGGTTGAGCTTATTCTCTTCATGGTCCTATTAACACGGGACCAGTTTCCCGTCATCAAGTCCGCAGTCCTAGGCTCAATACTTGCTACAATGCTTCTTTGTCTCGGGCTCTGCTTCTTCGCTGGCGGCCTGACACGCGGCGAGCAAGAATTCAGTGATACCGTGAGCGAAGTCGGATGTGGTCTATTACTAACAGCGTCTGTCCACTCATCCAAACATCCGTTAGTGCCGTTGCTAATTTTGAATTGTAGTGGGCTTGCCCTTATTGTTCCCTCTGCTTATTACCATACCATCGCTGGCGCTTCAAACATTACAGAGGAGGCCATTCAAGACAACGTGCTTCACATCAGTCGAGTCACCTCAATCCTTCTCATTATCGCCTACCTCATCTATGTCTGGTTTCAGATGCGAACACAGCACTGCATCTTTGATGCCATCTTGGAGCGGGACGAAGAGAAGGATGCAGACAAAGCTAGAGATGCTGCAAAGTCGAAGCTCACCTTGACAGAGTGTGTCATCGCCTTGGTAGTATCTATGACTCTAGTGACACTGGTTGCTATATCATTGGTTGAGCAAATTGATTACATCGTCGAGGAACGCGGCATCACCGAGGCTTTCATGGGCCTTATCCTTGTCCCCCTTGTTGAGAAGGCCGCCGAGCATCTTACAGCTATCGACGAAGCCTGGGACAACCAGATGAACTTTGCCCTATCTCATGTTCTGGGCGCGACCATCCAGACTGCTCTCTTCAATACCCCGCTAGTAGTCATCATAGGATGGGGGCTTGGTAAGACAATGAACCTCAACTTTGAGCTCTTTGAGATCATTATCATGATCCTGGCAATCGTTGTTGTAGGCAACTTCCTTCGCGACCAGAAGAGCAATTATCTTGAGGGGGCACTCTGCGTTATTGTATACGTCATCATCGCTGTCGCTGCCTTCTACTATCCCGGTAGGTCAGTGTAGCGGAAGGGAATGGTGGTGTACATTCTTCAGTAGCCAATGGTGTTATGTTACTTTGTCCCTAATTTAGTAGCTTTTTGTCACCAAGACAGTGTTGAATCCTTCGTTTCCGCTGGAAAGAAGTCATAGGACAAGTCGGTTTGAGTTGTCTGCGATCCCGGATGGGTTGCATAATTTGCAGCACAAGTACAGGAAGCGAGAAGGCAGGGGGAGAACGTTCTTCAGGAGCTCAGTATACATTGTTATTTTACACATTCTACCGACCTTAATGATTGCTCTCTCCGCACTTGCCATGCACATGATGTGGACATTCTGTGTGAAGCGACGGCCTAATCCCCTTAGCCACAACATGTCAAGTCTTCGCAGAGACTTCCGCAACTGATTTGACAACTGGCTGTTTTGACTGTTCGCTGACGCAGACCATGCAATTCTCTACCACCGTCGCCTCCGATAGACGTTGCGAGCTCGGGTTGTAGCGTAGTAGAATGAATTCCATAAGCATGCAGGCACTGGTTGATGAGCCGTGCCTGATTCATAAAACTTGTGAGCGAATCGTCAGAAGTAAGGACATGAGCCGATGCCAGAGCCTTGTTCTGACTCAGACGCCACGCGTGCAACTCGTGTATAGATACCACTCCTTCAACCTATATGGCTTTAGTAGCTGTAGATTTGATTGTAGGGCGTTTCGGGCTTGAGCTACCTTTTCGAGATCGTGTTTTACATCATCAAGATTAACGCCGAGCGGCACGCTCTCGAGCAAGATCGTACCGCTATTTTTGACTTAAGGCCAGCTTGTGAGCAGCATACAAAAATAGTGACAAAGATATGACTTACCAAGAGGTAATGCTGAAAGCAGGATCATTATGGCGATACCCATACTAACCCCAGGATCGGCGTAGAATCTCCCTTCGTATTTGGCTTTCCATATCACCGCAGCTGCAATAATAACACCGACATTGTTGATGGCATCTCCAATCAAGTGTACTAGGACACCCATCATACCAAGATCGTGGCCTTTTCCTTTGGGTTCGATTACTTGATGGCGATGATCTTGATGGGGATGCGTTGTCTGGTCCGTGTCAGCAAATCTTCAAAAATTATATATAATGAGAACATAGCACTTACGTCTTGCAGCGTAGAAAGGTCGATGTTGTTATCAGTTCCAGTAGCAGCTGGAAGCTCGTTTGTGCCTTCGTGGTCGTGGTCATGTTCTGAAGGTTTGTACGTCAGCTTTGCTCTGTCTGTAAATGTGTAGTAATTTCATACCATGGAGGAATGTAACGCTGATGATGTTCAGGGTAAGACCAACACATCCCATTATTAAAATTAGCATTGGATTTTCGACCTCTGAATATTGAATTAGTGGCGTAATTATTGCAGGTAGCAGGCATACTTTGTAGTGACACAAATCGCTCTATTGATTGTAGAAAGATGCTGACACCGAGTGCTAAGAGAAAAACGCCATTGAAGAAGGCGCCTAGAAGCTGTGCCCTTTGCCAACCAAATGACAGCGCTTTAGGGGTGTTGTCACGTTGCGAGATCTGGATCGAGCGCGTAAGTGAATATAATCGGTGGGAGTTGGAGCTGATTTACCCTGAGCGCAATAAGGGCAACGATAAACCCAACTAAATCATTCATCTTGTAGAAGGTAGTTTAGCTATCAAATCTAGGCAAGTTGATCCGTAGATCTGGACATACATAGTGAAATGCATCAGCGACGAGGGCGAGAGAGTGAGTATAAAAGCCAACTGAGAGCGCATTGCTAGATTAGCCAACACAGAAAAGGAGTTTTCCTTTCGTCAATTAACGCACCTGAAATCTCGGCAACGAAGAATGAGAACGATATGCCTATAATGATCATTAAGCGTTGCGACCGAGATAGTTGGGAAGACATGGCCGATAATGAGCACGAGTTGAAAAGAATTTGTTGGGGAAGAAGGGATGTGTCCGGTGACGAAAAATAGGAAATAACAACGTGCTTCATATGACATAAGCGAGCATTAACCACTCATGGCGCAGCTTGCTAGCTCGCTAAGAATCTGCGCCCGGTTTTTGTCCAAGTAAAACAACCTTCTACTCATCAACAAGTCGCCATTTCTCTCTGGAAAATTATTCTGTTGCGAAGACAAAAAATCTCGTCCACAGTCACTAAGCAACTCCTTTAAGATGTCGGGCATTCTCAGCAAAATCACTGACCAGATTTCTGGACAAAAGCAGTCTACAGGGACGCAACAACCTTCATCTGGGCTCCTACACAAGATTACCGACACTGTCACTGGACAGAAGCATCCTCAAGATTCCCAGAACCAACAAGGCACTTATATGCCTGGAAATCCTAACCAATTCCCATCCAACACTTCGGGATACAATGAAGGATATGGCGGGAATCGAGGTGGCTATGGAGGGTATCAAGAAGGACACGGCGGGAATCGAGGTGGCTATGGAGGGTATGAAGAAGGACACGGCGGGAATCGAGGTGGCTATGGAGGGTATGAAGAAGGACACGGGGGGAATCGAGGTGGATATGGAGGGTATCAAGAAGGACACGGCGGGAATCGAGGTGGATATGGAGGGTATCAAGAAGGACACGGCGGGAATCGAGGTGGCTATGGAGGGTATGAAGAAGGACACGGCGGGAATCGAGGTGGATATGGAGAGTATCAAGAAGGACACGGCGGGAATCGAGGTGGATATGGAGGGTATCAAGAAGGACACGGCGGGAATCGAGGTGGCCATGAAGGGAATCGAGGTGGCTATAGAGGCTACGAAGGAGGACACGGCGGGAATCAGGGTCATAATGGACATTAATAGTATCTGCGGATAGTGTTAGGGCTCACTTTGCCATTGGCATATTTACGAGCTTTTCATTGAGTCTAATATCTATTCTTGTTACCTTTTCCTCCCGATGAGATCTGATCTGCTAAGAAGAAACGCTTGTTGCTCCTACGAGCACGCATAAGTGTTAAAACTCCGAATATTCAATCAGCAACATCGATATAGTACTTGTAGCTTGGGCTATCAATCGCCCTACTATTTATTGAACAGGCTACTGACTGAAACCACATATTTTTTGATACCGAACATGCGCATTTGCGTATCGTCAGTGATGCAAGTGAACTTTTGAGAGACTCTTTGCTACGGTAAGGTTAAGATCAGTCAAGATTAGTGGGTTCGAGGCCTCAGCGTGACGACTCAAGCGTGCTGCTTCCACAAAGTCGGGTTCCAAGCAAAGACTAGGGACTGTCAAGCCTGACAGAGCTGACGCGGCTTTTGGCCTCGAACAGACAGAGGCAAATGCTTGGCAAAGCGCCAGCGGAGCAGCACTGCCTCCTCATGCCTCAGGCAGAAAGGCTTTTCCATTCAAGAAAATTAGAAAGGTATAGAAGGCATCCACCTATTCACCTTCCGAACCACTTCAATCTGCACCAGTCATCAAATCGTTATGTCAACGTCTTCAAACTCAGAAGTGAGTGCAGCGGTCTCTTCTGGCATACGCCAGAGGACCTGCCTCCGTGTTGCCTGCGTAACCCCTCTACGAGAGATCAAATGTTGTGATGGTACATCCTTCTATCGAATTTTCCCTGACGTCTTACTAACTCCGCCAGACACTTGCCTGGTCGAAATTGCACGTCGCGACTGCAGTAGTGAGCCGAATCACAAGCAACAAATTGACACGAAACCTTCCCACGATGTTCTCAACGATTCTGCCATCCCATCCCAAGCTGACGAGGAGCCATGTCAAAGCCACTACCTCAAGGCCAAGGAGGCGTATAGCGCCATCTTGGACAATATGGGCTGTATCTGCAAGGTGTTGCTATCATTGAACCTCGATTCGTGCTGTGTCGCCCTCCCGGTTGGCCCTCTTTGCTCCAAACGCTCGACACGGTCTACGAGCAAAGGCCTCTCCGCAGATATGAGCATGCTATCGAGCACTCGTTCTCCCTGCGAGCCACAGGAAGGTGCTGATTGCAGCAAGGATGCCTGCTGCTCCGAACCGTCTTCAATTCACCTGAAGGAAGGTGCAACGTCAGGAGTGACGTGCAATGATACCAACGAGGCTAGTTGCTGTACTGGTGAACCTTCGAAAACCAGCATCGATCAGTATCCCGGAACTTCAGTTGCCAAACTTGACGATAGTTGCAAGGCGGGTTGTGGCATCAAGACCGCTCATACGGCAGCTCTCGGTAATTACCACAACCTAAAAACTGGCTCTGGCAGTGGTATCGACAGCTGCTGCTCTGGTAACCTAGACCTGGCCGTCCTTCCATCAAAGCTTGATGATTGTGCTGGCAAGGAGTGCTGGTCCGACAATATGTCAGAACCTGCAACTGGACAGACGATCACGGAAGTCCATGGCAATCAAACAATCGATAACTGTTGCGCTGATAGGGGAGCCCATGCAGATGCCATATCAGACAGTCATTGCACCAGCGATCTACTAGGGACAGTAGTAGGCAGCAAGGGGACCAGATATACTCAAGCCACCGGAACCAACGAGTTAGACCTAGAAAAAGGCGACTTTCCGGTTGAGCATGTGGTGTTGAGTATTCAGGGTATGACTTGTACTGGGTGCGAGAAAAAGCTCTACAGATCGCTGGACATGATTCCAGAAATTTCGAATGTCAAGACCAGTCTACTCTTAGCCCAAGCAGAGTTTGACCTTAGCAGGTCCTCCGTCATCGTCGACGCCCTGAACACCATCAAGGCTATTGAGAAGATGACTGGTTTTACCTGTACGAAGATGACACAAACTGGACACGAGCTGGATTTGATCGTGGATGGTCTTGCATCGGAGTTTGCTGCTAAAGAACTGCCACCTGGAGTTTCCAACATTGCCGTTCTCGACACACACACTATTCGTGTAACCTACCACCCCAAGCTTGTTGGTGCCAGGGATCTGATGTCAGACCCGTACTTTCAATCACCGAAACTCGCCCCGGCTGCAGATCGTCCTCTGATCGCTTCTGGCAGGGCTCATGTCCGCCTAATGCTCTTCAAGACGATTGTGTCCACTGTATTGACTATTCCTGTCCTTGTTATGGCTTGGGCTCCTCTTCCGGAGCACGAGGTCATTTACGGTGCAGTTTCATTGGTCCTCGCTACCGTCGTTCAAGTTTACATTGCTGGACCCTGGTACATCAGTGCTTTCAATGCTCTTTTCTTCTCGCGCTTGATCGAGATGGATCTACTCGTTGTCCTGAGCACTACTACAGCTTATATTTATTCGATCATCGCATATGCCTTTCTTGTCTCGGAGAAACCCCTATCGACGGGAAGCTTCTTTGGGACGAGTACTCTACTTGTCACCCTTATCATAGTCGGACGTCTTGTCAGTGGCTTTGCACGCCAGCGAGCTGTAGAGTCAATCTCTATTGAGTCACTTCAGTCATCGACCGCAGTCCTCACAGATCCAAAGACTCATGAAGAACAAGAGATCGACGCGCGCCTTCTCCAGTATCAAGACATCTTTAAGGCTTTACCTGATACGTCTATCGCTACAGATGGCACCGTCATCGCTGGCACATCAGAAGTTGACGAGTCTATGATCACAGGCGAGGCCACCTTGGTTGCTAAGAAGCCCGGTTCTCCGGTGGTTGCCGGCTCAATCAACCATTCTGGCACCCTGACAATTCGGCTTTCGCGTCTCCCGGGCGAAAACACCATCAAAGCCATTGGGCTAATGGTAGACGAGGCGAAATCATCGAAGACCAAGATTCAGGAAATGGCAGATCGTGTGGCGACTTACTTCATCCCTGTTATACTCGTTGTCACCGTTCTGGTATTCGTAGTTTGGGTTGCTATTGGTAAAGTCATCCGTGGTTATGATGCCACTACCACCTGCATCAATGCCATGACATACGCCATCTCGGCTCTTATCGTTTCCTGTCCTTGCGCAATCGGTCTGGCGGTTCCAATGGTGCTTGTGGTAGCAGGAGGTGTCGCCGCCAAGCACGGCTTGATCTTCAAAACCGCGGAGACGATTGAGATAGCCCGGAACCTGTCTCACGTCATCTTCGACAAGACGGGTACTCTCACACAAGGCTTACTTGCGGTCGAGGCTGAGATATACCCAACTAAGCAGGGCGACATACTAGGCCCAATGCTTCTTGGACTAACGAACAGCAGCAAGCATCCTGTGTCTGCCGCTATCGTTACTCACCTCAAGTCTTCTGGAGTCCAGCCTGAGAAGGTCGAGAAAGTCGTCTCTATCGCTGGGAGTGGTATAGAAGCAACTTGGAACGGAAGCATCATCCGTGCTGGCAATCCACATTGGCTAGGCATCGAAGACTCACCAAGTGTCAAGGAAACACTCCTACTCGGCGTCAGCATGTTCTGTGTTTTGGTAAACGGAGAGCTCGTTGCCGTCTTTGGCCTCAAGGATCTCCTTCGCCCAGATGCTATCCAAGTCATCAATGAGCTGAAGAAGCGGTCCGTCGAAATCTCTATTGTTAGCGGCGACAATCAAGAATCTGTCAAGTCTGTCGCCAGCGTCCTTAATGTCCCAGAAAGCCATGTCCGCTTCCGGTGTAGCCCAGCCGACAAGCAGATGTACGTGAAACAGATGCTCGCCCCTCCCAAAAGCGTCGTTATGTTCTGTGGTGATGGTACCAACGACGCTGTGGCCCTGGCCCAGGCAAGCATTGGTATGCATATCGACGGAGGTACAGACATCGCCCAAAGCGCTGCAGATGCTGTCCTTGTCCGACCAGCGCTGAGCGGCATCATCATCCTCATGGATCTCTCGAAGGCGTTTTTCCGCCGTGTTGTCTTCAACTTCTCGTGGTCCTTCATCTACAATACCTTTGCCATCCTGCTGGCTGCTGGGGCCTTTCCAAATGCCCGCATCCCGCCAGAGTTCGCTGGCCTGGGTGAGATAGTCAGTGTTCTACCGGTAATTGCTATTGGGATGCAATTGAAGTGGGCTAAATTCCACCAGCCCGAGTGAGGTTTGATTTGATGTGGTTAGCTCGAGGACTGGCATCTTACCATGGCCGGTCTATCAAATGGCATTCAACATGTCCAGATTGCGAATGGTTCTCCAAAGGGTTCTAAGGACATGCACAGCTGGTTATGATACTACCTCCTGTAAATACAAAGAAAATAATCGATTGCTTGATACGCTTATCTACTATCATGCATATATTCCCGTTCACTGCTTCTGAATTCAACAGCTACCATCAATCCCTCCACACCTAACATGCTCCTCAACTTTCAGCTCGATCGACCTGTACATGGCTCGAGACTGCTGCCTGACATCTTCCACAGTCCATTGTGAAGCCTCTGAGCTCCGCAGATGAATGAGATCATCTGCGCGCGACAACTGTATTTACAGGTGCAGAAATCGGAAGCCTTCGAGTTACTTGGAGAAGCGGACAAAATGCTGCAAAAAGTACCCAAAGAGATCCTATTGTTGGTCCTTGAGCAGGTATGTCGTCAAACAAGAGCGTTATCTCGATTATAGCTAATCTGTTTCTCCTAGATGCCGCCTAGCATCTGCGAACGGAGCAGCATCGAGCCAAACCATTGCCAACCTTGTAATCGAACCTTCGGCAGGTCGACATTCACTTCAGCGACATCTCAATTCAGCAGCTCACGCTCCAGTATACGAGTGCGACCAGTCATTCGGTAGCAAGGCCTCGAGAAGCATCTCAACTCACCAGCTCACATCTTCGAGTGCGACGAGGGCGATCGATCGTTCTGCAGTCGGTAGCCCTCGAACAACACCTCAACTCTCGCCCTCGCAGCTTCAAAACACGATCGACGGTCTGGGTTATGGATCGCAACAGTCAAAAGGAAATGCCGTCACAATTTCAAGTGGCAAAGATTTTCCCCCAATGTGGCTATTTGTGCTTTCATCGACTTGTTAAGACCGCTGCCTTCACATGCAATCGCTGTAGTCTGGGGAAAACGTCGAAACTGGTGGCTTTCGCCAAAGATAAATGGGACGAACCTATGTGCAATGGATGTTATAGCTATCTACTTGTTGCTTCGGAGATCAACGACTGTGTGAGGAGTACACAAGATAATCTGGTCGGCGTCACGGCTTGCACACATTCACGGCGATCACTCAAGATCCGCAGGGCTAGAAAATCTGCACGTCGGGATCGGAAGTCTAACTAGAGCCATGGAGCCTAATAAAGAAGAGCGAAGACGAACGTAGGAACGTTGTTGAGACTGGAATTTTGTTACTTGGATGTTGCACATTATTTACTTGACAGAGGCAATTGGCGTTGGAGACTTTTTGCCTCACATAGTCAATAGCCCTATTAAAGTCGTGTGACCCTTTAATAACTTGTTATTGTGCTTGACCTAGTGAAAAGAACGTTGAGAGAACTGTGAATTCCATTGCCTATAACCCTTCCTTACTAGTCTCTCGTGCTCGAAGACTCGCAATCAACACAAAATAGTGATAACTTTATTCCCTTTGACGCCGTGGGAAGTGTTGCAAAGTCCTTTGATACTGTCACGGTTGGGCAAGAGCGTCATACTCTCGCTCTGCTGTTTATCGCTTGATGACCAGGCATAGCTAAAGTCAGGATTGAGCATCAAACATCTTTGATCGGAGCTGCTAAAAGAGCTGACAGCTTTCAAGCAGCTGACACTTGTCAGCTTTTGACTATTTTGAACGGTGTTATAGCAGTCATCTTTGAGCTATAGCTGACTGGTTCCTTCTAGCCTGAGCTGACGGCTATCAAGTCTCGTGGCCACAGTCTTCAAGAATTGCAAGTACACTAGCATGTGAGGTCAGCACCCTGTATCTAGTAGTCTTCTTCTAAAAGTAGACTTTCTAGAAATAGCTGTGCTCCCTAATGTATACGGATTTGCATCTATAAGTCGGAGAGTCGAGATAGAGATATAAGACTCTTAATCTTTCCACAATTCTTCTTAGATAAAAGAACCAGCAAAGCAAGATTGACTTCTGAACATCATCATCTCAACCTTACTACCAAGACACTAGTCTCAAAACGTGACTATGGCAGACATCGCGCCCAACAGGACCAATACCACCGCGGCCAATCAGATGGGCAAGGGTGGAGGGACCATTCAATCCAATGGCCTCGCAACCCCAGAGCCTACCCCTGGTCCGGAGGCCGAGCGGATCGCTGCCGATCAACTGCGTCAGAGTATAGAAGTTTCAGAGCTTGAAAAGGTCCTCGGTATCAAAGTTGACCGTCGTCTTAATCAGGTGGAGGAGATCAAGAAGATCTACCTGGAAAAGGCCCCAATAGCTGCTAAGAATGAAAGCGATTGGTCAGGTGAGTAAACCTCCTTAATTAACGTAGACTGCTTTGTTTAATCCACATGTTAGCACTGATAACAGCATGCGTGGCAACGGGGATTAGCAAAGAGTGGATAGATGAAACAAACAAACAGCTCAAACTGATCCCTAATCAGACAAATCCCAGCCATACTTCAACGCTGCCTGGAGGAGCACAATATGAAAAAGCGATGTCCCTAGAGGAGATCGAGCAAATCCTTGGTATAAAGAATATTCCTGGCGTTGATCAGCTCGAGGAGATTAAGCAGATCTATGTGGCAAAGGCTCCACAGGTTGCTCAGGATAAGGAGGCTTGGCAAAGTAAGTCGAGATCTCTGCAACTGGCCGTTCGCTGACTGAAAGTTCCAGAACTACAGGCTGCAGTTGAGGCATCGGGAATTACCAGAGGCTGGATAGAAGCAACAAATCACGAGCTAAAATTGATCCAGGATGAGAAAGAAGACGAGGATATGGAAGATGAAGAGGCCACATCCTTTATCCAAGAAGTCTATACACGCGTTACACCCACTATGGAAAAGATCTTGAGCGGTGATGATGACGATAAGCTCCATATGGAAATTCTAGAGGCAAACAAGGCTATAGCAAGCTGGCAACAGAGCCATCCCGACAAAGAGGACATAGTCGACTTCATCGACATAAAGAGAATTGAGGAGATTGTGGTCAACGCCCATTTCCAAGCTGCAAAGTTTGAAAAAGATCCGACTAATTCAAGAGCGAAAGAACAGTTTCAAAGCAGAGTGCAGGAACTGGCTGAGTTGGTTGATGCCAGTTCTTATCCCAGTACTTGGATATTGAAGCCACTGCCGGAAGCACCAAAGCCCCCGCCATCTGGAGGTGATGGCACTGCTCCTACAGGTACTGCTCCTACGGGTACTGCTCCTACAGGCACTGCTCCTGCCGGTGTTGCAGTTGGTGGTATTACAGACAACGGCACAGGTAGAGGCGAAATTGGTACGGACCCTTACGAATTAAACAAACTGAATGCAGGAAAACCGGGCTTTACTGAAGACGGAGAGATGATCATGGGACATAAGTTCAAGTATTTCAGAAAGGGTGATAAAAAAGGCCAGGTATACAGCGGGCAACTCTTCGTCGCGATTGGACCGCAAGCCTGCCCTCATGTTAAGGTCCTTCCCCGTAAAGACTTTACCAAGAATACAGTTGACGCGTATCTGAGCTGCGCTCATGCGATGGAGGTTGGCGGAAGGTCTGAGAAAGATGAGTTTGTCAAGATCCTCTGTACCGCAGCCGAATCTTGTGGACCGGAGCCTTTGAAAGAACCTGCAATCTACGCCTTGTGCGAGCGGAAAGAAGGAAATCCTATCTGGACATGGCGTACAGACCTTCAAGATTGGGTAGAAAGTAAACGGGCCGCAGACAACTTGCTTCGGAAATGCATGGAACGAGAAAAGAATGAAAGGGCCCAGTTCTATGCAGCCCACGGCATTAGGGAAGAACCAGAGAGCCGAGATCGAGTAGAGGATAAGCGCGCTCGCGTCTATGGGAAAAAGGCCAACGCACCTTCGACTGAAGACAGGACCTTCCCATTTGTTGGAGCGTCAGTCTCGCGAGCAATCAAGGCCGAAGCGCAACCGGCAGTCAAGGTCGAAGCGCAGCCCGCAAAGGTAGAAGCGCAAGACGGATTTGATCCAACCAGCTTTCTTTCTGTTACTGCTTGGTATGAGAAGAAGCATAATTTGAAGCTAGGTGCAGATCCTGCAGAGCTGACGAAGCTGATGGCTGCGTTTAAAACTATTCAAGACGCGCTCAGCATTTAGCCGTTGTTCTTTTCTTTTCTTTTGATTAGTTCTGCTTTTAGGTCTGGGAGCTTTCCTCACTTGATACATGGCCCTAAGGACTTGCTTGCTATCCATCTTTTATTGAATTTGCCTTTCCTTCTGCATTTGTTTCGAGTCTGTCATTTTGGATTTATGCGGTATTGTGGAGCATTTTAGACTTAGCACCAATAGCACTCTTAACTGTTTCTGATTCTGTATGCATATGCTCTCATCCCATATTTTCATGCCTTTGACCTCGACCTCGACTTTACCCAAGCAACACTAGTCCCCACAGGATGAAGTAATGACGTCGCCCATAGCCTGAACAACTGGATATACCGTCGCTTGATTAGGGGAGGTGATTGTTGATTTGGAGGATGTCTAATATCCGTTTGCGTATTGGTTGTGCGCACTTAGTTCTCGGTGTCTTTGAAACCCTCCTCAGAAAGCATCATCTCATCATAGCTGAACCTGCCATCCCCCGAGCTTGCTCCAGCTCCATAGCAAGCTTCTTTGTATGTCGAACTTGGGCCGCGGCCAATTCACGTAGAAACTCCTCGGGAAAAACCCAGTCATCGCCTTCAAAAATCTCCGGTGTCGTGTATCGTATCACCCAAGCGATCCATAATCGTCGCAGAGGTGAACCGGGCAGGGTATTTTCGTATATAACTGGTATAAGTGAAAGTGGTACGACTCGACTCTTGTCCCGTTTGGAGACCAGAGCTTGAAGAAGTGGTTTTTGAGCCCACGACGCTTGAAGATAGTCCGTGAGAAAGAAGAACTTGCAGAGCAGTGGCCAATCCAGGTCTTCGAATCCCGGCGACCCATAATCGAAGCACCACTCCCAATCTTTGAGCTCGGATAGCTTAAGATTAGATATCCATCCGTCCAAAACCTGAAAGGTCTCGACGTCCACCTCTGGGAGTAGCACAACCCGTTCGTGAGTCTCCTTAAAGCCGTCCGTGAGCATGGCGCGAAAGAACGGCGAGCATGCGCAAAGCTGTTGCTCTTCAAGATGGAAGGGATGCTTATCAACCCCTACTAGAACGGTGACTGACGTATTGCGGTCGGTCATGGTAGTCTGAGATTGTGTTTTTGTTGTTTGTGCTCGAAGGCGTGCGATAGAAAGTTAGATAGAGACTAGTGCTTATCTATACGCTCAGTACGCGTACTTTTAAGCATGGGTCAAACCACGAGGCGCGAGCTTGCAGGAGATGACCAAGACCAAGACCATAATATAGGGAATAAAGGTAAGAAATACGTCGTTAGATTCAGTACATACTCTGATTCCTTCATATAAACTATTACCTGAAAGCGATAGAGACCCAGTGGAACGAAATGACCCATATTTGCAATCTGGCGGACTTTCCGAGCCCATTTTCAAACTCTACAACACCCTTCCCATCAGAACACGGCTAACCGTAATTAGCATCCGTATAATCTTTCCCATAAAACTCCCGGAAAAACTTCTCATTCGCCTTCAGAGCCTTCCTTGCGTGTGGAAGTCCTATCTTGCTCCTCTCCTTTCTCGCAAAAGCCTGAGCTACGCACATGATATTCTTTATCTGAAAGGGATATTAGTGAGACGAAGGCTAGGGTTTTGGTAAGGTAGCTTACCTGCCGGCCGTTCAACTGGGAGATGGCTAATTCTTCCAGCTCCTTTTCTGTGACGTCTACACCTCCGGAAGAAGTGGTTGTCTGAGAAAGGAAGTTCCTCCAGACTTGCCTCCTCGCGACTTGAGTCAAGGCTTCATATCTCAGCAGGAGATGGATTCGGCTCAGAATCGCTTCATCGAACTGCGCTATCCGGTTTGTGGTCAGGAACAGTATTCCCTCGTAGTATTCCAATTTGCGGAGGAACACAGAGACAAGGCCGTTGCGAGTCAAATCATTGAGCGCGCGCCTCTCAAGAAAGACATCCGCTTCGTCCAAAAGAAGAATTGCGTTCCAATGGCTGGCGGTCTTGAAGATTCGAGAGAGTCGGTCTTCGAGTTCTGTTGTATCGCGAAGTAATTCCCCAATAGAGATCTGGTCGATCAGACTTATGCTTCGCAGGGTACAAGACAGAAAAACCTACTGAATAAAGGGGCCTTTTCAGGTGCTCAGATACTGCTTCTGCTGTGAAGGTTTTCCCGACTCCTGGTGGGCCACTTTTATATGTTAGTCTGTTACGTGAAAAGAAACGGTATAAAGCCCTACTGTAAAAGTATATTGAGACCCTTCCCCTTTCCTACGACAAAGTCGTCAAACACTACGCTAGGGTCAAGGCGAGCCTCGACGAGAGCCATAATGACATCTCTTTGCTCATCAGGTATCGACAGACAAGCATAAGGCGAGGGCGACCATTTGATGTCTTCGATATCGGCAATAGCGAACTCCGCTGCGTATTATAAATTAGTCGGATATATATTGCAACATAAGAGCAAAAAGACATACCCCACAGCTTGTCGCCAAAGCTAAAACCGAGCACCGTCGGACAGCAAACAAGGAAATCGTCCTCCGTTAGATCATCCAGTTCAACATCATCGCTTTTGACGTGGTCGCGCGGTGGCCTTCCTGGGGGGGGCGGCGGCGGCCCGCCTACGTACACCACCGATAGGCTATTCCCTGGCCTCGTCCCAGCTAGGTCGGTACGTGGCCGGGAGTAATTTGGATTCATTTTCCAGAAAAAATCGGCATCGATCATAACCCGACTGTCGACGGAAAACCTTGCCGGTTCTCCCCTGTGCATCAGAAATGCTTCACCCTGACAGTGACAGTGGTGAGTACCGATCAGGCGGACAAACTTTCGACCACATTCAACGAGGTCAGACTTGACCTGTTTCTCGTCTAGATGGTACTTGAGAGGGAAAGCTGGCAGGGAGTTAATCCGCTTCGTCCCCCGGAATTTTGGAATGACCAGCTCGATAGAGGCCTTGCCAAATGTTTTACCATCAAAGTCGAAAAATTGGCAGTCCATGCTGAAATACTTCTTTTTCGCCCTGTTAATCTTCTCTTCAAAAGAACCATATGTGACACATCGCGGTTTTTTGGTACCGAAACAAGTGGTGTAAACCGGGGTATTTGGCTTGAAGAGGGCCCAAAGTAGATCCCACGTGATCTTACCATGCTGTAGGAGCGAGAGGAGACGCTCGGTCGTGGGAGCATAGATCTTCTTCATATGGTAGATTAACAAATCGAGGTGCTTTCTGGGCGTTGCGTCCGCATGAAGGGTACTTTGATGCAATTCAAGTTCGGGAAGGTAGTGGTATAGGAGATGTTGCTCGACCTATACCCGATTAGTGGCCGTCCATCCCCTCGAGTTCGAGATCGGACTCACCCTAGGCTTTTCTTCCAATAGACTTATCCCATGGACGTCCTTCAACACCTCCCTCAAAACATCTCGGAGGTCTTCCGATTTGATATCGACATAGAAGGTGGGGTCTTTCGTTTCCCTATCTAAAAGCTTGTCAGTATAGAAGCATCTTCAAAGGTAATCCCTACTTACCAATCCGCGTGCGCATAACAAACACGTAGTCATCTAGCGTATTCACTTTTGCTGCTGAAGGTTCCTGAATCTTGTATTCAGACTCTTCCTCATCCCACCTAAATGGATTGTCAGTCAGAGTTTGATTGCTCCATTGGAGACATACACTTCATTCACCGTCTTGAATTCTAGCTTGGAAGCTGGAGTTGTCTCAGGCTGTTCTCGAGCATCAGTTTTCGCACCTTCGGCTGCCTTGGCTGAGTCTGGCGATTTTGGTGGAGACCCCTGTTGAGTACCGAGAGACTTGAGAATGTCTAAGAACTGTTGGACGTGCTCAGTAGTCACGACCTGTGCTAATGGCTGGTTTGCCGGAAACGCACGACCTGGAGCTGGCGAACAGGGCTCGGTTGGGGTCGCCTCTGAAGCATCCTCGGGGGGTGTATGAGAGCAGGTGCAGTTCGGGGCACGACCAGAGGCTATCTCCATGTCCATGACGGCTTTGACCAACTCTTGGGCGTCGCTCGAGGTATTGAAGCACTTGGAGAGTGATAGATTCGGGCTGCTCGGTGGTGCAAAGGGCAAGGAGGTTTGAACCCTCTCGGTTGAGACTTTCGTCGTTGAAGATTCCTCATCCCACCTAAATGGATCGTTAGCAAAGTTTTGTTTACACTTCGTTAGATTCATACTAACTGAGCATCTTCAGGCTTAGCGTCCTCGGATATCCTCGGTGGCTTCGACTTTGCTCCGATGGGCTTCGAGATGAGTTGCTCCACATTGTCAATGGCTTCCTCCGGTGATTTCCTGTGTTCCAGAAGAAACGAGAAAATTTTAGCTGGGCTGAATTTCAGCTCCGGCACCTTGACAGCAAACCCTTTTGCCAACCGCTCGACTCTCTCTACCTCTTCCCTCTGACTCACTGCAGCTTCATGGACTTTTCTATTCTCTCCTGATTGAGCGTCCTCTGGAAGAGCGACGTCGCCTTCTACGGGCTTGAAGACGAGACAGAAGAGGTCAGCCGTCATTTTATTGTCAGCGAGCCCGAGCTCGACCTTCTTGTCCACACGGCCAGGTCGTATGAGTGCTTCATCGAGGCGCGTGATGTGATTGGTAGTCATGATCAGGATTCGGCCTTCTTGTGACCCTACACCATCGATGACGTTCAAGAGAGAGGATAAAGACACCTTTCCACCGACAGATTTGCTCATTCGGGAGGGAGAACCAGTCGCGATCTGGCGAGAGTCCTCGACTTCAGCGTCTCGATTCGAACTGACGGCGTCAATGTCTTCCAAAAGAATAACGCAGCGACTTGGAAGCTTGTCGAATAGGCTCTTCAGGCTGGCTTCGTTGATGGCAGAAAGGTTCAGAACGTAGATATTCAAACGAAAATGACCAGCGATAGACGAGCTCAAACTCGATTTCCCAGTTCCAGGAGGTCCGTATAACAAGTAACCCCGTCGGTAGGGAATGTCACGATCGGTATACCATTGTTGGGATGCTGGGTGAAGGAACTCCTTGATATCTTGCAGAAGTTCTCTTTTCCTACCCTCATCAAGAATAACGGTCGAGGTGCGTCTTATTTTAGACACTGCAGACCTTATCCACTTCCCATCTTGGTGCTCATAGAGACAGGTTTTACCCTGAACAAGCTTTGCATACTCGGTGCGGCACTCAGAGAGCAGTTCCTTAAGAATTTGCGGAGATCTGCCAAAGCAGGAAATGGAGACCTCTTCTCGGCTGCTGAAATCTCCAGCTTGATATTGACGCCGGAACACAAGCAGACGGCCCTTGTACCGCATGAAAAAGCGTCCATTCCAGGGCGTGTAATACAGAGTCTTTTTGTTCGCATCTCCGCCATTTGAAGGATCATTTCTCGAGCGGTTCAATGAAGAGGCCAAGTCGGTAGTGACGAGGGAGGAGCGAGCGTTCTTGGCGAAGCTCTGAGAAGATGTCCACAACATGAACATATCATATGCATCCTCGCGATATCGAAGATGAACAATTGAAGCTATTAATTGTCAGAAGGTGGGGTCTCATTCAAATAGAGGGGGTTCTTACTGCAATAAGTCTCAAGCAATCCCCACAAGTACTTGCAAATACGTCCGCAACCGAAGGCAAGCAACCCCAAGAAACACAGCAGAGGAACATAGACGTTCAAGTCGATGGTGAGATACCCTTGGACAGCGGTAGACATGCGGGTGAAGCCTGGGAACAAGAAGTCTAGGATCGAGGCTTGAGCGTCCGAGATGGGTTGGATTGGCAGGGAACCACGCTCAATGTATCCTGCCATTGTCTTGTTCTGGTGTGATGGTGGTAGGATGTTTTCAGGCAGAATATAAATAGCTTTATGTACGAGACAAGATATATACAGATTGAGAAAGTTCGGAAAGATGCTTAAAGAGCTAGATGTTGGGCAACACCGAATGTGATGATCAAAACTTCAGAGGGGATCTCTGCCCTTATATATTCATTGGTTTTCGTATCATTGTCTGCAATGGAGGTCCATTCTTGCGCGGCCAACGCGGGACGGTCGATTAAGGAAGCTGATTCTGTTGGCCTCTGGATGAATCGACGGCCTACGGTTGCAGCATGATGTGTTAGCTCCTTGAACGATCAAGCTGGCCTCGTCGATTCTCATCATGGAGCAATGCGGGGGAAGCAAGACATTGACGTGGAGTACTGATAGCGTTCGTACCGTGGATATTGTTGGAGGAAGAGTTTATGGCGTATCGATTTTGCAATTCTCCAAGAATGGAACCTCTCCGTATGGTCCCCCGATCCTTGAGAGCTCCCCATTGAGTTAAGGAAATGCTGCAGAGACATGGCCTGTATGTAGGATTCGTCGATCGAATAAGATACGGTTGAACAAGAAGCCGATGTGCACTACGTTGCAGGAAAGATATATGCGACCTCCTAATCTGGCCATTGATGCCAAAGTGAAAAGACATGCATGCTCTAGAGGAGCTTGAAGTGTGGTGGTTTTGATATGGGGCTGAGCGGAAGCGGCCCCGGATAGGACTAGTGATTAGAGTCCCAAGTCTTCGGAAACTTACCGCCATCCCTTCTGCTCGAACTAAAGAGCAGCCTAAGAAAATGAAGTACGTGGTTTGCGAAATAATGCAAGGACCGGTTGACGTTCTATTCTTGCGAAAGCCATAGGTTCCTGCATGGACGGAGCGGCCAATCCCTCCCGATACTCGGCGCCTTGCTGGAATTGGTTGGGCAGCATGCGACAAAAATGTCAGCTCGCTCTCGCTAACCTCTGCGGTGACCTCGACCTGCGGTCACCTCGTCAGTGATCTTGGTGATCTCGATCTGCGCCACCTCCTCGGTAATCTTTACTTTCGCTCGCCTGAGTCTACCCCACTTCTTCGGTGATCTCAATCTGCGGCCACCTCGTCGGTGGATCTTAACTTTCGCTCACTGAGGTCATCTTCGGTGATCTCGATCTTTACTTTTGCTCACCTGAGTCTACACCACGTCTTCGGTGATCTCGACCTCGATCTGCGACCAATCTTTACTAGTCCTCACGCTCACTCCACTCTGAACCTGCCTCGTCTCGATTCTCGTTCACCTCCTAGGCAATCTTTACTCTCGCTCACTCAACTCAGATTCAGCCTCGTCACTGGCCTTGATTCTCGCCCACCTCCTTAGTGACCTCGACATTTGCTCACCTCAAGTTTGACCTACTGGCTCGGTGACCTCCACACGACAATGTCTGCAGACTTGCTAGCGAGGATTGAGCGTGACCTTTGCAAGATTGGGGAAGAAATCTGGAATATTGATGGTCCAGATGATGTTGTCGACAAGGTGCTCGAGAGACTCTCATTATTGAAAGCGCAACTCGAAGTCCAGAAATCATTGCAAGCTACTGCAAACTTGCTACGACGAGTACCAAGCGATAAAGCTCTTCCAAAGCAGCAAGCTACGAAAGTGAAGCATTTGGTTCGCTTCGCCTTTCGAAAGAACAGTCGTCAAGAGCTCCTTGAACGAGGCAAAGAAGGCAAAGAAGGCAAAAAAGACAAAGGAGACAAAGGAGACAAAGAAGGCAGACATCAGAAACTACGCAAATTGGATTGCGATGCTTTAAAGCTCTGTGGGTTATCTTATACGACCGAAGAAATCGTCAAGTTGGGTGACGCAGAGTTTGAGATCCTCCAAAAACGTGCAGAAGAATTCATCTGTCATCGCAATCTTTCGTACCTTTTATATCGCCCCGATGTGGACAAAGCTATCGATTCCAAGCTCGAAGATCCCGAGGACGATGAGTCATTCGACAAATTCATGCAATGTATACATTGTGGTTTCTTAAAGCAGACTGAGGCTGATTAGACTAGCACACACTGCCCGACGACTATCGATACGCAAACGAAAATACGATGCAATAGCATCACCGAACGAAGCGGCTCAAGGTGGGTTCGATCGTTGCACCCCATTACAAATGGCAGACAGCTGATTGCAAAAGCGCCGACAGAGAAAAAGACAAACACAAACACGAATGAATATGACGGAGATGCCTTCATCGTCGATAGACATCACGCGCGAGAGGCTCTAGATCTCGACGATGACGAACATCTTGGGGAAGTATGGCTAACAATTCGGAAGAAGGTACACGGCGCCATTAATGAGAATATATCATTCCTTGAGAAGAAGAGGAGAGCATTCATCACAATTTGGATGTCAGAAGTCTTGGGCGAAGAGTTAGGCAAACGAAGCAGACCGTTTCCAATGATCGATTGCACGAGCAACAAGGAGGTACAACCAACCAACAATGGAAACATCGATGTGTCTGTATGAACAATCCATATGATTAATATAATCTCATTTAACTATTCGACTCCACAGGTGAACTTCCTTTCAATTTTCAATACAATAAGTAGGCTAAGCTATCTGATCGAGAATTCCAACTTCCACAAGTGCATTCTTGACATCCTCAAACGTTTCCAGCTTTGGATGAGGGTTGCCTTTGTTATAAATGTCATGACCGTTGGCATGCTGGCCATGCGTCTCATTTGCCTGACATACGCGTGGCTCGCCATCCTCACTTTCGAACTTCCAGCCAGTCTGCCTAGTAGGGACACAACCATTTAGAACCGAGACATCTAGCATGACAGTTCCTTGAGGGAGAATGAGCTCTAACATGCGTGTGGGATTTGGATCGATGACCTGAAGTCCGACAAGCTTTGATAGGTTATTTGTGATCAGATATTCGGCGAGTTCCGGGAGGAAGGCGCTGTCAACTTCGAACAAATCGGGTAGAGGGCCTGTTTGATACTCGTATGGATGGAAACCGTGGTCTGTGAGAACAAATATATGTCCATGCACGTTGCTGAGGTCCACAGTCCGGATCACCGTAGGTCTGGCCCAGCGACAGTATGGCTTATCGTAGTTAACACCTAGCAGGGTGGTGTTATCAGGGGCGGCGAAGTGGCCATGAGCTAAATGGATACCGAGGATTCCATCAGCGCGATTCCGAACGAAGAGTGCAGCAAGATTGTGTATGTGTGACTCGAGGATTTCCGGTTGTTGTGAATCGTCTGGGAGCATGTTGTAACTATGAAAATTAGTTAAAAGTCAACTAATTTCAGAGCCCCCGTTACTTACATATCACGGCTTTCCTCCAAGTCCTGGACCTTCAAAGCCTTGTTAAGGCCGGGAACATCGAATGGTTTTGCTCCTCTATATGCCATTGTTCGTAAAGCGGGCCGAGTGGGTGAATGTGCGACGGATTAATCGCCTATATAGTATATAAGCAGTGTGGTAAGCTGTAGGATGGATGGAGGCTTGTCCTAGTATTTACCTTGGCTGTGGTTGTGCCGTGGCGAGATTGGGAGAATGAGGTTGACTATTTGCGCAAAGGCCGAAGGCGAAGTCGAGCCTACAATGCCAGAGGCACTTCCTGCGCCTCTGATAGAATATGTTAAGTGCGATAGGTAGAAGGAGGTACGGTAAAGGCGTGCGGTGCGAGGGAGAAATGAATCTGGTGATATATATCGCTGGGCGAAATACAGATGCAAGACAGAAAATAGTGCGCAACGGCTGCCCCTCAGCGTAGGTGGGATGAAATCTATTGGCGGCTGGGCGGAGCCGGTCCGGCAGAAAACTAAGTCATCGATGTCGCTCAAAAACAACCTTGGGTGTCTGATCTCTTGCTTGCAATTCGAGAGGTTGATGAGGTTATTCACGTGCAGGAAGAAATTGTGGTTTGCGGGACTTTCAAGTGGTGGGGCACAATTCCATGTGATTCGCTCAGCAAGCCGATAGTGGCCGGGTAGACCCGGCGCATTTGGGCTCCAACGCCTTCAGGCTGAAAAGATGCGCAAAATTCCGCCAAAATTGAATGCTCCTGAGCACCTTTCCAGTAAAAATTTCGCCGACCGTTTCAGGCACATAGATGTTTCGCAAATTCTGGATGCCATAATTCTCGAGGCTGGATGCAACCCCCGATCTCAAGAGGTGGCTAAACTGTGGCCATGTGCGCTGTGGCTGTGCGGCTTAGCATGAATTAGGAATGGTACGAAATGCATTTACCAGCTTCTGCCACCTTCCTCTTCATGACTGCTCAGAACCTGTGGACCTCTTCATCTGCCAGCCCCCTCCGCCAAACCAATGTCAGATCTATTTGAGACGCAGAATGAGGTCACCCAAGACGACTGTGATACGTACGCCCAGAACCTGGTGAAGGGCTCCGTGACACCAATGCCCTGGCAAGGCTTTCATAGCTATACACTGCGGTCAAACTCGGGGCTTATCATTCAATTTCGATCGAAAGCATCGCCCCTCGACAGTTCAACGACCAAGCTTGCTAAACAAGTCCACGGCCATCTTGCTCCAGCTACTACATATCACGGCTTGATGCCCAACTCTTCGGTATCTGTCTGGGTCATGGAATTCATTGCGGGTGTTGGGTATTTGTTCACAGCTAGCACGATCACTACAGCTAAGCTAGATATCACAGTCACAGACTTCGCTAAGTAGGTCTTCGTACATTATCAAATCAATTTGTGCTGCTAGCTGATACAGTACTACAGGTTCTATGCAGCGTCATGGAAAAACCCCCAATCTCCAGCCAAAGACAAACTCCATCTCTACACCACTAAACTCAAGCAGTTGTCCACCTCCCTACCTCCTCGATTCACGAGAATCCTCGAAAACACACAGAAAAATATGGGTCTGATAATAGATCTGGTGCCTTGGGTTTTGACTCACCAAGATCTCTCGGGTATGAATATCCTCGTTGATCCTGATAACGGCCATATCACTGGTGTGGTTGACTGGGCAGATGCTACTATCGAACCATTCGGCATGGCTCTATGGGGACTAGAGAGTGTGCTTGGTTGCAGCGGCCCTAATGGCTGGTCATACTTTGGAAGCGATCCTTCCTATTCACACTTTGGATGTAATCCTTCCCGATCACGAGCGCTATTTTGGAAGACTTTGTTGAGAGAAATCGAATGCACAATCCCGGATGAATGTCGCCATGCTGTTAATGAAGTTAGAACCCTTGGGGTTCTACTCCGATATGGTTTCCGCTGGGAAAATGGGACGGTGAGCCCTGTGAAGGATACTACCTACCTCGATGTGTTTCTCAAAGATGAGTTAAAGTTGGCTGAGGAGTCACATGGGTCGGAAGGGACAGATTAATTGAGGTCAAGCTGTTTGTTCTTCTATTGTAGGGGAGTTCTAGCTAATGGAGGAAACGGTAAAGGGCAGTTGCTAGAGACCCTTGAGCTACTTTCATCTGACAGGTTCCAACCCTACATAATCATCCAAGAGATTCCCTGTAACACTATGTTACTATTGGATTCCCCGAAATGCACGACACAACTTACCTAGTTAATAACCTCATAGCGCTTCAGAATGGCTTTAAGAGCAGTAACGTTTGGTGCGAGTTTTGCGTCGATCAAGACTTTGTGAGGCCCCTTTACCGTTTCCATGTGCGTCTCGTTGCCCTTGAAAGATACAAATCCCTCTTTGCGAGTGAAGACCCACCCTGTTGTCCTGAAAGGTGTTGCATGAGAGATATCTTGCTCGTTCAGCATGACCGTTCCGCAGTCTCCGAAGTCGAATTCGGCCATGTTCCTAACAGACTGGCCAAGAATTTGGAGTCCAACGGTGGCTTCCAACTGATGTGATTGCAGATATTCAACCAAGTCCTTGAAGAAATCGGTACTGATATCAGACAGATCACTTGCTTTTCCCTCGACGTATTCGTAAGCTACAAAGCGGCCTCCGTCGACGAGCTTGAAGATATGTCCGTGTACGTCTGCAAGATTAACCTCTTCCATCCGGATTGGTTTCGCCCAGCGACCCGAAGGTTCTGTGAAGGAATGGCCCAGCATCACGTTGCCAGCTGCAACCTTGGCGTGGCCATGGATGAGGTGGACTCCAAGCCTCTCGTGGACGTTGTACTTGACAAAAATCTCGGCAAGGTTTTGCAAGTGCGTGGTAGATATCTCCGATCGTAGCTCCTCGCTGTCAATTATACCTGAATTTCATTTAGCCATGAACTATCGTTAAGTCATTTTGAAGTACTGAAGTGAGACTCACGCGGCAGTCGAATTTTGGAGATCAGCAAGAGTTGGCTGGCAGTGGAAGCCCGGAATTTGGTTGGGGGATGTGATCAAAACCATGGTTATTCCAAATGATACGAGTGCTTCTTGGATAGGGGCAGTAGATACGCAAACGATATCGATTGCAGAAGAGGATGAGGATATCTATACCTGAAGTATCCCTCTGGAGAGGCAAGACTCTAAGGCAGAATCCGAGGTGTGATCAAAACCATTTGACCCCACTCAGGTCATTATCTTGTAGGAGCCTCACCTAATCAGATTCTGTATTCATAGCCAGCTCTCCATGTACGAGTAAGTTCAATGGCAGCCAACCTTTACCCACCGAAATGTAGCGGGTGACTCACTAGACAGCCTGCCTAATCGCACACAGTGCATCGTGGAACGCTACCTGATTGACCAGTGAGTGCTCCGATAGTAGAAAAGTGTGGCATCTGAGTTTGGTGGCATGCACATGCACATAATATTAGGCAGCTAGAACAAACAGCTCGTCCACCAGCGCCACCCCTGTAGACATCTCAGCGCCTACTACTTGAATGGCTGATATGCTGCAAGCAAGCATCCAAGGTTCACGGATGCCTTCTGCAAAGAGCGGGGAAGGGTCGAGCCGCAGAGTTTAGTGGGGCCGGGGCCTGACTCAATACATCCCTACACTCTCAGTCCAATCCCCTCTTGATGCCCCGGTGGTAGCGATCCCCTGCGCGCGAAAATGCATCCCATACCATTCCCAATTCATAGCGGGTAGGGTGCGAATGTCCGGCTGATTGACCAGTGAGTTTGGTAGTGATGCATGACTGGACAGTGAGTCACTCGAAGCCCATGTTCGGTCGACCCCATGGCATTCACAGACAAGCCTGACCTAAGATCCTTGTGATGTTCACGGGTGCCTTCCGCAGGGAGCGCAATGTGGGGGCCAGGTGGTTCATTTCACTTCAATGCATTGTCCCGAAATGCACTCTCAGTCCAATCACAGAAGCAATGGTTTCTCTCGGGCCAAGGAAGACGTACCTTATCTGCCCCTCCAACTCCCCATATCAAGCCTCTACCATCCTCTAATTATCCTTCTATCCTCCATCCTCCATCCGCTCTCCTCTCTGGAATTTGACCACACTGTGTATGGGAAAAAATAACGCAACCCTCGATCATTTCAAGCACCAGATCAAACCTCCTTGACTTGCGGCCTTGACGACATGGCAACCCTTGTTGCTACTCCTTCACGCATTCCGGGTCTCGACAGCGCCTTGGAGATCAAAGACTTACAGAAAAGTCGCGATGCGTGAGCGTGAAGTCTCGACTTGAAGTCTAGCATATTACTAACAATTGCTAGCTATAATGGGCTACTCGACGATGCGGAACAGCCACCCGTCTCAGAGGAACATATGCAAAAGCTTGCAGCGCTCTTCGTCCGCCATAACGCTCACAAGACTCTTGGTGTCCATTTGATTCATAGCCACTTCAAGACACCAGAGAATACTGTCATGCTGGGCAGCAACTTCGAAAATCCTTGTGGCCGTTGGACCAAGGTGACGGAAATCGACGCCGTCGACCTCAGCATTGTCCATGGACATATTTTCGTTCTCACGAGTGATGGCTTCATCGCATACGAGTACCAGGACGGACCCATGCCTGACCTGTCAAGTGTTGGAAAGGAGTTCTTCGCTGACTTCATCGATTACCTCACCACAAACGACCTTACGAATCTCCTCGGCCTCCAGGTTCTTATTGATGGCGTGGACCAAACCATGTGGGAGCTCATCCTCGACCAAGGGACTGTCATGTTGGATGCAGCAGTCGTACGCGGCTGCTCACCGACCCGAATTACCGGTTGGAGGTTTGAAGCCAGGGATGGGCAGCCGCGTGTATGTCAGGCAAACGAGGAGCACGCTAAAATGACTTCGGGCAACCACAAGGTTTTCAATGCTGGGAAACCTCTACCTAAACTAAGTGATGTCGACGACCTTAAGAAGGCTCTCATCAATGTGGAAATTCTTTGATATCTTAGTAATTCCGCCCCGCGAAGAGACAGATGCGCCACCAAAGATGATGTTAGGTTTAGTTTATGCTAGCAATTACTGATCTCAAACACCTCCTATTTGTGTTCCTCTCCATGCCTTTGACTCCTCCATTTCCCAAATATTCTCACTCAATTGAGGTCATCGAACCTCGTACTCGGATTGACAAGAAAACCGTCTAGAGATAGCATATTGTACCGTCCAGTCTCATCGTCACGGATAGGCGTGGGCTCCGGCTTATTTGCAAGCCGGTTAGTGAAGCCAGAAGATAGCAGTAAACCCATGATCCTTGCTGTCTTAATGTTCCTTATCGTCTCCACAGATAAGTCTCCAACTTCGTCTCGAAATGTGCTCCAAAAGGTGTCCTGCAGAGCCCCGTAATCTTCGTATTGCCGCCACCCGTTCTTGAGATGAAGTGCACCCGTAAGAGCTTGCAGAGAATGAAGGTTCTGGCCAAAAGGGCGGATTTCAGCTTCTGCCCAGTCTATAACACCATTCAGGTGGCAAGACGTCTCATCGACCAGAATATTACAGGAGCCAAAATCGTGATGGAGAAGAACCATTGGCAGAGAGAGAATTGCCTCCATTGAATCAAGGCATTTCTGTATGGTGTGATGAAAGCGAGGCGGTAGAGAGTGGAGTAGCAGCTGCAGTTCCTTGGTATATGTCCGGCGTAGTTTCTCGCGGTAGTCTGAATCAACCTCTCGAGGGGCTTTCCATGAGAGGGCAAAGAAACTGTAATCAATTAGCACTTCCGTTAAGAAATATACCTCCATGGCGACCTTTTGATGTGGTTCAGATGCCATGGTAGTCATATTCACTAAAGTGGCCAAACGCCAGATCTCTTGGAGTGGTAAAGGAAGACGGAAGGTGAACCATACTGTGCAACGTCTCTCATGAGCGTTTTTCGCCAAACGAAGTTCCGGTCCGAATTTTTGGGGAAGCCATTTGCAAGAACAAAGTCCAGATAGCTGATACCCTGTATCCGATTCATAACATAGACGAAAAGGGGTTCTTTGCCATCTTCTCCCAACTGTCCGTGGAATGAAGCGTTCGGGGCCAGGGAGCCATATATTTCTCGCGCCAGAGCCACAATCTCTGATTTAAGCATCAAAGACTTGAGACGGAACTGGACAACGAATTCGCATTCAGGTCCAGCATAGACCGAGTAGCTGCAGTTGCCCTGCACGGTCACAGGGACAACTTCCCCCCCAACAAGGTCTTTGGCCTTAGTGTCGCATGCTTCACGAGTTGCAGACGTCTCTGAGAAGAATTCTGCAATTGCAACATCCAAGGAATATTCTGGATAGGCAGACATAGCAGCAAAGGAGCCTCGAATCGCACAATGTTTTGCTGAAATGATAGAATGGAATAGTTGGAACCCTGGCGTACAGCTCGATCAGTAGAGTCTCGGATCGGATAATCTTTCTGCCCGAGATTTACCTACATCCCAATCAATGCTTATGACACTTCTATATGAATAGCCAATATACTGCAAGCATCCAAAAAGGGTCGCAGATCGAGGTCACTAAGGAGGTAGCGAAAATCGAGGCCTGTGCCGAGGACTGTTCAGAGTTGATCACCGAGGAGGTGGTCGCAGATTGAGGTCACCGAAGAGGTAGGCATAGACTCGAGCGAGCGAAAGTAAAGATGTATTCCGCAATCGGTGCCGAGATTGACGCCTTCCCTCGGATCAGGCCGCAAACCTGTAGGCAGCAGCAACGGTTAACAAGAACACGCTGGATACCAACTAATCTTCATTCAGCCTAGCGCCAACTGATGTCACCAGAGCAGCCGCTGCGCAGTGTCTCCAAAGTCGGCATTCCAGCACCAGAACTGACCCAAACCAGCTCGACTTCTACGTTTTCTTAGATGAGCCAGTCTCAGATGTGAGTGGTTCCGAGGAAGGGATACTGCGTTCGCGAAATGACAAAAATAGTAATGGATGCCGCTGCCATATTTCATCCCAAACACTAGCGCATTTCACCACCACCCACCCCTCGTCTGGCGCTCTATCTCTGACTCTTCCTTCCACCTCCATCCATCAACCCCAGCGGCAATATAAACCCACTTGTTACCCCTCCTCCTTCCAGTCGATATGGCCCCGCGTCAAGCAAACCGAAACATTCGAAAAGTTGGGCGGCAGCGCTCGGTGCCAAAAGACGAAAGTAAGTAAGCCATTCACACTGGTCGTTTACTTTGACTGACTGTTGATAGAAGCGCGGCCACAAGGTATCAAGAAAGAACGACCACAACTTTCTTCTCGTAAAAGCGCACGCCTCCAGGAACGGACTGTATCCAAGGACACGAACACCGAACTCAAGCACCCATTTCCCTCCCCGACTAGCAACACTCCAGGCGAAAAGGCATGCCACTCTCCTCCTGCTATGCTATAAAGCTAACTCAAGTCAAGTTTCCACAGAATCAATCGACCCCTCTGCAAGATAAAGATCGAAAACGAAAACGAGCGCGAGAACCCGAAGAACCACCCATTCGCGCTCCATCCAAGCGACCGCGTACATCTGTTGCACACCCGGCTTTTGGGCATACACCTGACAAGCTAGCGGCGGACGGTGTCGTCGATAATAAGATTAATCCAATCGCGCATTGGATTCAGAAGGAAAGGTGGCCCAAGGAATACTTCGACCAAGACGAGCAGACTAGGAAGGATTTCGAAAACGACAGCTGGTTTGAGAAGTATTGGGAGCCAGAAAACAACATGAATCAAGTACTTGCAAGGAAGAAGTCGTCATCCTCCATTCGTGGTAAACAATCGGAAGCCAGCTCTGGTTCTACGACACCTAGCGATCAAAAGCAAAGGGAAATCAAAAGTTCCCCATACAAAGATCCACGTTATAAGACTTTACTCGCAACCAAAGGCAGCTTCATGGACGAGTCCGATTTAGGGATCACAGACAAAAGCAAGGTCGATTATCAAACCCTCCTCAGCGCCGAGCAACCAGTTCCTACTGACTCGTTATTTCGCGACGACCTGTTCAAATCAACTTGTCGGAATATACAAGACAGAAATGAGACGAGGGTCATCCGGGATATCTCGCTCCTGATTATTCCTTCTGCAGAAACACTGGCAACATACGGCGCCACCAACCTTCGGTGCTTGATCGAGAGTACTAACGAAGGCTGGAACAATTCCATCCCAGTGACTAAGACCCGTCCGCAACCCGACTACTCTGTAGGGTTCAGGAGAGAGGTGTTCACGGAAGATCAGCTCAAAAGGCTTGAACCTTTCGTAGGCGAGCTCACAGATACTTCTTTCTTCATGGCCACGTACTACATGTACTTCCCATTCCTAACCTGCGAAGTAAAGTGCGGCGCCGCGGCACTTGATATCGCAGACCGACAGAATTCTCACAGCATGACGATGGCGGTGAGGGGTATTGTTGAACTCTTCAGACTTGTGAAACGCGAAAAGGAGCTTCACCGGGAGATACTCGCCTTCTCAATTTCACATGATCACGAAACGGTCAGAATCTACGGCCATTATCCTGTGATCGATGGAAACAAGACCACCTTCTACCGCCATCCTATCCGTAAATTCGACTTCACGGAACTGGACGGCAAAGAGAAATGGACGGCATACAAATTCACCAAGAATATTTACGACAAATGGATGCCGACTCACTTGAAAAGAATCTGTTCAGTTATCGATGACTTGCCGCCCGATCTGGATTTTGAGGTCTCACAGCAATCCGAGCCAGGGGAATCTGGACTTTCACAGGGGTTAGAAAGCCATCATCTCTCTGATCAAACAAGTCATGATGCTACGTCTCTGGGCGAAGCTGACAGTCAATCAAGTCGTGTTGATTCGCGAGACGTTACCCCTGATACTTCACTGTCTCAGAGGATCGACGGGAAAGCATTTAAAAAGCCAAAGAAAAGGGGTCGACCTGTAGAATTACACCAGTCTCAAGACGCTGTTTGAAGATGGGAATGCTTTCAAAGTGATCGGCTGTTTGGGAGAGGAAGTAAATGTATAGGCGAGGCTAGGACTAGGAGCATTTGTTTACTGTTAAGTTTTGGGGAAATCTGTACGATAAAATTCTATGAAAATGACTGATTTGTATGGTTAACCTCGTAGTTGATTGATCTAAGACGTTGTTGGGAGTAGCAAGTAGATGAGGAACCTCCACCTCTCCTTCTTTCCCTCCCTCCCATCTCTTCCCCCGCCCCGTTCTCCCATCTGATGTATACAGCTTCAGTTCTCATCATCAGTTGAAGACGCTCAGTTAGTTTCTCGGCTCGCAAAGGGGTCGAGCTGCTTGCTGTCTATGTCCCGGGGAAGGCTATTCGACCCTGGGTCAGACTATGTTCTTTCTTGTATGCCAGCAAGCACTGCTCGTCCAGGTCTGACCATCGGCTCCTGCTTGTTCGTGCTCGAACGGGCCCGCTCGGCCTTGCAAGAACCTCCATCACTTGAATCGTCATCGCCGCTGTTTGACGGTTCGACCTTCTCCAAAACAAGAGCCCCAACGTGAATGAAGCAGTGGATCCTCCTCCGTTTCAAGAACGACCGGCCCCTATACGAGGTCGCTTTTTGAATTTTGTCGAACAGCGCACCCGGATGGACCCTTCACTCCGGTTAGGGAGGGCAGCAAAGATGTATTCCCACGAACGGCCTTCGTTCCACATCTGGACCAGCTTTATATCGTCTTCTATCCATGAAACCTTGCTCTTCTTTGGCTTCAATGGTGCTTGGTGTATCTTGGAATGTGCAGCAGCGTCGTGATGGGTCGAAGCCTTTGCCGGCGCCTCCTTGCTAGAACAGATATCCAATGCTTTGGAATCAATCGGTAAGTGAAGGTGTTCCGAGATCGATGGTAGTTTGAACTCAAGATTATACGTCACATCATCCCCGATCCTGGTGCGTTTGAGGAAGCCTTGGAAGGGCCATTCCCGATACTCAGCAACTGGTACTGCCTCTGATGCCACAGACGGGCTTCGAGAAGTTCGCGAGGCATGTTGGTGGTTATTATCGACGAAGGTCGACAGACATTCGTGATCGACCTGAGGCTGCGCGTCGTCAATCTCAGGTGTGGCGGTCGACAACGCCACAAGGGGGCCAGGCTGTCCGACGTGGAGCTCTGGGGTGTGCCCTCGGGAGGTGGTTGGAGTCACGGCACGCACTGAGCGTGGCTTTCGTCTCTTTGCGGGTCGTGGGTCCTCGTCGCTTGTATCGCAGGCGTTGTGATTACTATCGGTGTTCGCGGAATGGTGGGTGTCGCTGCTGATCTCTGTATGCGCGTCTTGGTGCCGTCGCTTCCGCGTCGCAGGCTCCAGCGCCGGGTCAGCTGTGGCAGAGGAGCTTCGAGAAGCTCGTGACGTATGGCAGTGCTCGTCTCTGATCGGAGTTGCTGAATGGCTGAGAAGAACCTCACGCTGTACTTGGCTCAAGGGATGGGGAGAAGACGCTGTTCGAGATGTATTCCATTAGCAACCTGTTCGTCAAGATTTCCAAAACAGGGCATTCAGTTACCTTTAAGCTGAGCGACTAACATAGGGCTGAGTGAGATTCTCAATTGATCTTCAGTGATCCAGGCGCGGTTATCGAGATCGAACGCATCGACCAGGTACTCGAATAATTTTCTGCCTTTGTGCAGGCTAGAGCGCATGCCGTGAACTCGGAAAATGTCCATATCTGTCCGTAGAGCCAAGTTTTGAGAGGATAGTTCGCAAGTCGGCCATGGCATCGATATCTGTACGTCGTCTTCGTTCAACCAAGAATCCGACCTGTTTGGATGTTCGCCCCAAACAACTCGGTACTGGGTTGTTTTTGTCTGGCGTCCAGCAAGCTGCCGAGCTCGTACCCCACGTAGTCGAAAACGGTGCTCGTCGATCTCGGGGATCTTGGGTTGCGCGGCTGGCAGAGCCTCGGTGGCTTCCTTGTCTTCAGTGTCGTCCCCAACAACCTTGACCAAGTCCTGCTGATCACCCACAGCTGAGTGCCCGAGCTCTTTCTTCTGTGCTGCAAGCTCTTCCTGCTGCTGCATCGCTACGGCTCCCCCTTCTACTACCACCTCAGTCTCCTGCTGCTCCCACTTCTCAAGGTCCTGAGCTGGGGTACCACGTCGACAAGCATCTTGCAGCTCTTCTGATCTGCTACCGGTGGTTTCGCTGATTTCTCGACTCCGGGTCTCGTCCTGTGGTGCCTCGACCAAGCGAGGACTTGGAGAAGTAGGTGCGCCGGTCGATGATGACTTCACTTGCTGCTCTTCCAAAGCCAACCCCAGTTCTTTCTCCAGTTCAGCCATGTTCTCCTCAGTCCATCCATCATCGCCACTGTCGGAAAGCCTGGGGAGGAAGTGAAGCGCAGACTCCACTGACGTGCTCCAAGGAATACCGTCGACACCTTGCTGGTTGGCACGACCTTGCAGTAGCTTAGAGGATTGGGGGAGGGTTTGGGGTTGGGCTTGTGCGGGAGCAGAAGACGCGCCGTGCTGCTCACAAGGCCCAAGTCCCGGAGCTGGCCACGGACCGGATGCATCCACGGACTCTGTCGGTGCTAAGGCAGGTTCTGAAGTTACGAAGGTGTCATACAGCCTCGCGTCCTGTTCAATACGCCTAGTACCGACATCGACATCACCAGAAGCGCCTTTGGCCTCATCCGGGTCGTCATCGAGAAGCACTGGTTCATCTGCATATAATTAGCAGACCGCTTCTGAGCATGAAAGACAGCCGGTGCACCTGCCTTGACTACCACCCTGACGTTCACCTGACCCTGATTGTATTCGGTTGACTTGCAGTTCAGCCCAGTGAAGAGCTGGCTGTTCCAGACGCTGAAGGGTGGATCCGGCGTTCGAGGCCTCAGTTGAGATCTTTGGGCGCAGAGTTGCCCGAGACTGCTCCTCGAGAGATGGAAGATCGTCGTTTGATTGATCGTCGTCTGATTGATCGGCATTGTCAGCAGGAGCGCACAGAACGAATTCACTTTCGGTGTAGCTTGTTCACGTACCTTCAGCTCTCGCTGTCGTATTTCTCTCTGCCTCAATTTGATATCCAGAATGGGAAAAAGCGGCCGTAGGTCTGTATGTTTTCTGGCTGCCGCTGGCGTTGAATGAAGGGATTGAACGGCTGGGTTCAGAAGACCAGAGAGTATTGCTATTGCAGAATGGCGGGTTTGATAGGGGAAATGCAAATTGAACAAATTGCGTAGTCTGAAGGGTAGCCATCACGAAACGAAGTGGGCAGAGGAGGAAACCAGTTTGAGCATGTGGAATATCCAGCGAGGGGAATTGAGCAGCTTAAGTGGTAATCTGTGATCGCCTGCCTGTCAGAATTGGACTGGTCTCGTCCACACATCAGTTTGCCGCTCGCAACTGCCGTATGCTGTCCTGAAATCAACCTGATCCTGCGCATGAAATCTCAGCCCCTCCAGGCTCCTCCCAGGACTCATTCATCATGCAATCCCCAGCGTCCCTCGGCTTCTCCGCGTAGCTGAGCCCGAACGACCTTCCCTTTGCAGAATCAAGACCCCGCGGCGTAGGTTATGCCGTGCCAATTCTAGCAGCGCTTGCGATCCTGCCGCAGCAGCGCAATGAGCCAAAGGATCCTCGGAATAGCCTTCAATCACCAGATCCATCCTTCCAATATGCAACGACTGCGGATTGAGCTCCTTCCGAGGTCGTATGATCTGGCTCTTCGTAATCTTCCACGTCATCCCGCCTGCTTGTGACCCATTCTCCCAACGCCAGCGTTTCGTATTCGGTCCATAGGATGCTCAGCAGGAGCTTCGATGCTGCCATTTGTCATGCAGATTGTCATCTGCCACTGCCACGGTTGGCAGAAATCGGTCCTTCTCGTCACAGATCAGCCCAGATCAAGGCATACAGTGCATGTCGTCGTCTCCACCGGCCCAAGGGAACTCACCGAGATCCTTCCCATCACAGATCAGCCCAGATCAAGGCACACAGTGCA